TCTAATTCTACAAATAAAAGTTTGATTTATTTCTTTTTGAACTCAGAAAAAAATCTGTCATTTATAAGTTATAGTTTTTTTCAATATCTTATTATTTATATTTTTTAGACTTTTTTAGTGAATCCTAATAATAAATTTCTAACACTTAAAGATTTAACTAATTGCCATTTTTCTTATTTAAATGTCAATAAATATCAATTTCAAAATAAAATTTCCAACCAATTCCAAAATTGTTCACTAATAAAGTTTTATAATTGTTGTAGAAAAAGTAAAGTTTTATAATTAGAATTAGAATTTAAATTTAATAAAATTATTTTAATTTAAATTTATTAAAATTATTATTAGTTTTTGCATATAAAATTATATTAAAATATGAATATGAAATAAAAGTAGTAGATAAGGTGTTGAATTTTTTTAAATAAAAATATTGTAGAGAATTAAAATTGAAGTGAGTGTTGAATAATTATGTGAAATAAAAAAGAAAATAACTGGAATGTTAAAATGGAAAATTTAGGGAAAGTTTAGGGTACTGAATGTAAATAGCCTTATTACAGACAGACAGACCTTTTTCAAAATTATTACAGACAGACCAACCTCTTTTACTTTGACATTCGTACACAATTCTCTTTCTTCCAGCGAAGCAGGAGACATAAATCTTCACTTAAATTTTAATTTTAAAATTATTTTCCCATATTATAAATATATAACCCGTTTGCACTTTCTCGTGCATCGAAAATCTCAAACACAAACACAAACAAAACAAAAAAAACTCGAAAACGAAATAAACAATGGCGAGCTCCGATGCTCTCTTGCCAATCTCCGCCAGAGAAGAATCTGACCTGAATGAGGAAACCCATCGCCGTAGGAGACCCGTTAAAGGTCTCCTCGCTGTCTCACTGGGGCTTTTGTTTATCGCCTTTTACGTCGTTCTCGTCGCCACACACGACGGATCTAATAGATCCAACGACGTTAAAATCGAAAGCGATGAAACAGCAACGACAACGTCACGTGCACGTCTTGCTGGCGTGTCGGAGAAAAGCAATGATAAGTTGTGGAAGCTTTCCGGTGAGCGGAATACGGTGTCGTTCGCTTGGAACAACAGTGTGTTGTCGTGGCAACGAACGGCCTTTCATTTCCAGCCAGAACAGAATTGGATGAACGGTATGTTAAAATTTGATTAAGAGATAAAACTAATTAATTGGTTTAATTATCTGTTAATTTAGTTGAAAAAGTCTTTCCTCTTTTTATTACACATTCAAAGAATATTCATTCTTCCTTCCTTTTCCACGTATATATTTCCTTTTCCGTAATATGGGAGAGAATATTAAAATCTTTAAATTTCCAAATTATTAGACAGGGATTGATTCATTCAAATCTATCAGATTTCATCCAGAGAACATTATATAGTTTCCAGTTACAAAAAAAAACATTATATAGTTTCATTGCATCATATGATCTTATCTAATTAGTCTCTAATTTTGTTCTAATTATTTCTGTTTGTTCTTTGCTCTCTTCTTCCTCCATTTATCCACTACGATGTTGCTCAATGGCAAATCTGGGCTTTTCTTTCTGCAGATCCTAATGGTAAGTTTCACTTTCCTTTCTTTTCTGTTTATTTTAATTTTCTAAAAGTGAATTTCTCTTACTGTAAAAATAAATAAATAATAATTTATCTTACTGTAAAGTATGTTTATCTTAATACAAAATATGAAATTTAAAAGAAATCATTGGAGGGACAAGAAGTAGTGTCACATAAGGTCATCACACAATCCACGTTATAGCCAAAAGGCTCACTGACAAAATCAGAACAGAGTTACCCTCACAACCAATAGCAATAATTTATTATATTTTAGTTTAAATTGGGTTTGCCACTTCATATCTCACATGAGATCCACATGCTAAAGAGATTGTACAAATCACTAGTTGCCACATAAAAGTTATCATGATTGATAAATCCTTATGAATGCAAAGTCTGGATCTTATCTCAAATTGATTAAAGCCAGTGGGGTATACTAAACTACGCTATTTCGATTTGATACCTAGAACTTTGTCGTTTACTTAAAATCCCACTATTTCGGAGTTATATTCATTTTGACCCTTGAAAAAATGTTTTTGTGTTTTGTCCAGGTCCATTATTCTACAAAGGATGGTACCATTTCTTCTACCAGTATAACCCAAACGCAGCCGTATGGGGTGACATTGTTTGGGGTCATGCCGTGTCAAAGGACCTAATCCATTGGGTTCACTTACCCATAGCCATGGTTGCTGACCAATGGTATGATGCCAATGGTGTCTGGACAGGCTCAGCCACATTCCTCGATGATGGCTCTCTCGTCATGCTGTACACTGGTTCCACCGATAAATTCGTTCAGGTGTGCACACTCGATTTTTTTTCGTAACATTCAATCTCTAATGTGCTGAAAAAAATTAAATATCAGTTTCAAAATAGTCATAGCTATAGCAGTATATATACTAGATATATCAAATCTAGTAAAGTACTTAGATATAAAAGCTCATAAAACTCTGATAATTTTTTTTTTAATAATACTGTTTTTCCTAACGATACAACCGTAAGAAAAATGGGTGAATCCAATGATATTTTTATAAAGTGTGTAGTGAACATGTTAGGCAATAGACTATTACCAATAGTTGAGGCCAGCATATTATTTAGATTATATTTATGAACGTTAGGCAAATAGTAGAGGTAATGAGTTATACAGCCAGATTTTGGTAAGTTAGTTTCGGAACATGTATATTAGGTTTAATGATTGTACTAAGAACACCCCTATTAAAATATCATGGAAGAAGTTCACGTGGTGATCCGCGATTGATTCAGTTTTTTTAAAAAAATCAAACAAAAAAACAAATAATAATAAAAGTTAATTTTTTTTTCTGTGAACTCTCTCCCATAGATTCATTGATGAGGGTGTTCTGATGATAATAACTATATAATGTTTTCAGGTCCAAAATCTTGCATACCCTGAGGACCTCAACGACCCACTCCTATTGAAATGGGTCAAGTACTCAGGCAATCCAGTTCTCGTACCTCCCCCAGGTATCCTCCCCAAGGACTTCCGTGACCCAACAACTGCATGGAAGACATCAACCGGAAAATGGCGGATCACTATCGGTTCCAAGATCAACAAAACCGGGATCTCACTCGTCTACGACACAACCGACTTCAAAACTTACGAGAAACACGACACATTGTTGCACCAGGTCCCAAACACGGGAATGTGGGAATGTGTTGACTTTTATCCAGTGTCTAAGACCGCGGTCAATGGGCTCGACACATCGGTCAACGGACCAAATGTGAAGCACATCGTGAAGGCTAGCATGGACGACACCAGGTTTGATCATTATGCCGTGGGGACATACTTCGATTCTAACGGAACATGGATCCCTGATGATCCTAGTATCGACGTTGGGATGAGTGCTAGTTTAAGATATGATTATGGAAAGTTCTATGCATCAAAGACGTTTTATGACCAGAACAAGGGTCGGAGAATCTTGTGGAGTTGGATTGGTGAATCTGATAGTGAGGCTGCTGATGTACAAAAGGGCTGGTCTTCTCTTCAGGTATGTTCTGTTTCCTTGCCCTAACGTGCCACGAAAGTTAGGTGTTGTTTAATTATAGTTGCTTGTTACCCAAGGTAGTGCTAATTTTTTTCTTTTTTCATAAATATATATTAATTACTTCAACCCAAAAAATTGAGGATCGGAACAGTACAAACCTAGGTTACAAACTAAGAGAATCCAGATCCATAAGCTTACAGCAACATAATAATTTTGTTTGTTACACTATGAATTAGGGTATTCCAAGAACCGTTGTTCTCGACACAAAGACAGGGAAGAACTTGGTCCAATGGCCAGTGGAAGAAATAGAATCCCTTAGATTAAGCAGCAAGCAATTTAATATGGAAGTCGGTCCCGGTTCAGTTGTACCGGTCGATGTGGATTCTGCAGCTCAGCTAGACATTGAAGCAGAGTTCGAGATCAAGAAAGAGTCTCTTGACAAAATCCTTGGAGATGCTTCGGTGGTTGCTGAGGCTGAGGAGTTTAGCTGCCAGAAGAGCGGAGGCGCCAGTGTCCGTGGTGCTTTAGGACCATTTGGATTCTCCGTTCTCGCCGACAAGAGCTTGTCGGAGAAAACTCCGGTTTACTTCTATGTGGCTAAGGGAAAGGATTCTAAGCTCAAAACTTTCTTTTGCACAGACACTTCAAGGTATTATTTTCTTCATATTATAAAGTAATGTCTAACCTTAGTACATAGTATTGGATTATGAAGTATAACATTTTTATGTAACAGGTCAACTTTTGCCAACGATGTTGTCAAACCGATTTATGGTAGTTCTGTACCGGTTCTCAAAGGGGAAAAACTGACCATGAGAATATTGGTAATTTACTGAATGAGCATACTTTAGTAAATAATTTTATTACTACACTTTAGATTAATTTAATTTATTTATTTTGAATAGGTGGATCATTCAATAGTAGAAGGATTCGCACAAGGTGGAAGAACATGTATAACGTCAAGAGTATATCCAACAAAAGCCATCTATGGAGCAGCTAAGCTTTTTGTATTCAACAATGCTATTGATGCGACTGTTACGGCGTCGTTCAAAGTTTGGCAAATGAACAGTGCTTTTATTCACCCTTACTCTGAGGAAGTTGTCCGTGCTATCTCCAGCGCCTGATTGATTATACACACATTATACACCCATTACCTCCAGCAATTTATTTCATTTTTGTAGATTTACTTGTAATAAATATTGTTTTTTCAGTTCCTCTACTATTGTAGCCGTTGTTTAATTATTCGAGTTTCATATTTGATTATTCGAGTTTTTCTCACAATCGTTATCAAACAGTTGACCTGCTTTGCCCAAGAAAATTAAAAAGATGATGTAGCTGGGCCTGATTGGCCCATATAATTGAAAATGGAATTAAACCTTCGGCAGCTATCAGAAGGTTTGTGAACAGAGCTTTTGTTGTCTCTTCGTCAAAGTAGTTGTCACTGTTCTGTCTTCTTGTTACTCTGCAATGCGTTCTCTTCAATACTTCCCCTCCGTCTCAATTGTCTTCAGAACCCAAAAAGACGTAAATACCCCTCTCATTCCTCACTTATCTCCCATTAGAACACGTAATTATCCTCTACCGTTGAGGGCAACGACGTCAACTGACGAAATTCCACCTAACGCCGTTCGCCGGAAAACAGACAGAAACTGGAGAGGAGGGTTCAGTCTCGGGGTAGACTTAGGGTTATCCCGGACAGGAGTCGCACTCAGTAAAGGCTACACCTTTCGTCCTCTCACGGTAACTTCCGAATCTCTCTATCACTAAATCTCTCAAGCTTTAGTGAAGTGAAGTGATTTTGGGTATTAGGTTTTGAAATCGAGAGGGCAGAAGCTTGAGACGAGGCTCTTAGAAATTGCTGAAGAAGAGGTAATGATTCGAAAACGTTTCTTGGAAGTGAGAAGTGATTTTGATTGGAAGTTGTGTGTTTGCAGGAGGTTGATGAGTTCATAATTGGGTTGCCGAGATCTTCTGACGGCAAAGAGACGGTTCAGTCTAATAAAGTTCGATCTGTTGCTGGACGGCTTGCCGTTCAAGCTGCAGAGAGGTGAAGCATACTCACTAACACACATATATGTGATCTAAGTTGTGAACTTTTTGGGGGTTTTGTCAGGGGTTGGAGGGTTTATGTATTGGATGAACATGGGACATCAGCAGAAGCTTCAGACAGAATGATTGTAATGTTAGTTCCTCTTCTCAGTCTCTCTCTCTCTGTCCTAAAGCATTGAGCTTTTAGGAAAGTTTTGGTTACTTGTGTGTTGATGATTTGAACCTGATAGATGTTTAAAACATTCAGGGGACTCGGAAAGAGTGAAAGACACAACAGTGAAGATGCGTATGCTGCTGTGGTAACGCATTGAGAACACCATCTTGAGTTCGAAGTTGCCGTATCTATGGCTCTCATCTAGTCTTTTTTTTTATGTTACAGATATTGTTGGAGAGGTATTTCACTACACAAGGTCTAGGAGCTGAGATTATACTTCCCAAGAGTTTAGAACTTCAAGAGAAGATCAAGAACGCTGCACCTAAAGACCCTGATTTTTTACCTGGAAAGCTTGAAGAGTATTACAAATTCTAAACTAGTTTGCTTTCATTATCCTCCTTGTGGATTCTTTGATTTCAATTCGTCCATGAAGACGTCAGTATATAAACATAACAATAAGTTCTTTTGCCTATGATCTTGTTAGTTCCTCTACCAAAAGATCCTATTTTTCCTCTGTTTTTGTGTGTTAAGTTACAAGGCAGAACAGAGTCAAGTAAACAACTGGTGAACATAAGTGGCATACGTGTACACATCTAAGCCAATCAAAGTGGATAGAATATGGAACTCTTTTACACGTGCGAGATCATCTCTTGTGTTTTAAAGTTGAATGAATCATTTCTACTCTGCAAAGTTAGAACCTTCAACAATGGCTCTCTCTTCACTCTCTCCTCTCCCCATGAAGTCTCTTGACACTTCACGATCCTCATCTGCCGTTTCAAGGTCTCTTTACCATGTTCGAAGATACCCTTTGAGGCGTTTACAGCTAATCTCCCATTCAAGACCAGACACAGATTCTTCAAACTCTAGGTGAGACTTGATCATCGCAAAAACAGAGTCTTTGAGGTTCCTTGTTTTTACGCAAAGATTGGATTTTTAAAAACTTATGGCGTTGGATTGTTGTTTGAAAAGGGAAGAAGATTGTTGCTCTGGTGGAGAATCGAAGACGTGGAAGAAGTTCTTATCTGGAGCGTTAGCAGCGGCTGTGATAGTCTCGAGCTCAGGGTTTCCAGCAATGGCAGATCTTAACAAGTTCGAGGCGGATATACGTGGCGAGTTTGGGATAGGATCAGCTGCTCAGTTCGGTTCTGCTGATCTCAGGTATCACAAATGGTTCTTTCATGAATGTTTTGCATCAAATCTTAGAGAAGTCTCATTTGGCTGAGATGAAGAATGTTTGTTTTTGCAGCAAAACAGTTCACTCCAATGAAAATTTCAGGTAAATATTTGAAATATATATCAAGAAACCATCAATCTGAAGAAGCAAGACTTTGTGTTATTTTTATTTTTATGCTCTGGATCATGTGTACTGGTTTACTGATTGTTGCAGAAGAGCCAACTTCACTTCTGCAGACATGAGAGAGTCTGATTTTAGTGGTTCAACCTTTAACGGCGCCTATCTTGAGAAAGCAGTTGCCTACAAAGCTAACTTCTCAGGTATTCTCTCTCACTTAGCCTTCCCTTTGCAGTAACTATGAGATTTATGGTATTAGACTTATGATGAGATCAGATTCCACAGCTAACGTTCACATCTGCCCTTGCACTAGCATTTTCTGAACCTCAGTTGCTTTTCCTCCACAAGCATTTTGACATAGTTTCAAACCCCAAAGCAGTTGCTGTCTGTTTCGCATCGTTAGGTCCATCGCAGTAGATCTTTCATCTTTGATGCATGACTCTTTTTTTTTGTAGCAATTCACTCTCTTCTTTTTGTAGCAATTCTTTGGTTGGTCAGCCTTGTTTGAGCATTTGAGTTGAGACCTTGACGATGTCTATGTGTAAAGTATGCATTTTGATTCTGCAGGTGCTGATTTGAGTGATACATTGATGGACCGGATGGTAAATGACATACACTGTGTACTCTGTTTATATATATACTTGAATATGAGGCATTCTCCTTTCGGTTCATGTTGATTCTTTTATGCCTATCTTAGGTGTTAAACGAGGCAAATCTAACAAATGCAATTCTCGTACGTTCGGTTCTAACCCGGAGTGACCTCGGTGGTGCCAAGATAGACGGCGCAGATTTTAGTGATGCTGTGATTGATCTTCTTCAAAAACAGGTAAACATTTCATTCATCTATAGCTTTCAGTTAACATAAGCTGAGTGGTTCTCAAATTTTCTTTCCAAGGCTCTGTGTAAATATGCAAATGGTACAAACCCATTGACTGGAGTGAGCACAAGGAAGAGTCTTGGCTGTGGAAATAGCAGGAGAAATGCATATGGCTCGCCTTCTTCTCCTTTACTCAGTGCACCACCTCAACGTCTTCTCGGTCGTGATGGATTCTGCGATGAGAAGACCGGTCTCTGTGACGCCTCGTAGTTTCAGTTTGGTTAAGATCATGTGTGTATTGTATGTTTTAAGTATTGAATTGTGTAAATGACTTGAAAGAAAGAAAAAGGAAGATGAACACTGAACAAAGGAGATAATGATCACTTTTATGCTAGTGCAAATACATCACATTTATGTTACGTGGATCACATTGTAAAATGATCTCATATATATAGAAAAATATGCAAGTTTACAAATAAATGGAACACATTGTAAAATGATATAATGATATGTATATATACACTTCTATATAGATCAGATCCGGTCAGACGGAAATGTTGATTTTCAACTGACTACCACTTGATTTAGTTTTAGATGGATGGTTGACAAAAAAAAAAATATATATGCACTTCGAAGATTATTAAAAACTAGAATAATAAGAAGCTACATTTGTCGATTAAAAAAATATGAGAGTTACATTTAGATTAGAGTTTATATGGTTAATCATGTATCGAGTACAAGTATATATGAATACATACGCAATGTACTGTATATATGCATATAAGTTCAATAATGTAGTAAGAATCAATCAAAGAAAATATAAATCTGTACCATCATCATCATCTACACAGCTACACTTGATTAGTGTTTGTGTGGACGTATGTAGAAAGATATATGTATATATGCATTTATATAATATAGTTCTCTTTGTGCTCACTTCCATAGATCAATCTGACAATTCGAAGAAGTCGAAGCAGCATATTCTTCTCTGATATCTGAAACTTTTTTCTGGTCATTTTCTTCATCAACTTGGTACTCCACATTGCTCGTGTCTTTGGCATTATTCTGTATAGAAGCAGAAGCTGTGTCGGCCTCCTGGTTGCTTAGCTGAGAAGCAACAAATTTATCGAGGGTTCTCCAGTCCGTGACTTGCTCCATCATTTGCTCGTTCCCGCTATTCATGTATATAGAGCTGAAACTCTGGTTCCCTTGATTCAATTGTTCCTCATGCGCGAGATTAGACTGCTGCAAGTTAGCAATATGAGTCTAATTATCATTGTTGCTTGTTCCGCAAGAAAGATAGTTGTAATTAATATTATCTAGTTGGATCTTAGAGATTTCAATAAAATAGATTCATGAAAAAGATGGTGATGTTGTACCAAGTGGTTGTATTGTAGTTCTAGCTCTTGCTTGCATTGCAAGTTAGGGTTGTTGAGAGCGTAAGCAGATGCATTGAGGCCATATGGAAAAGGCTGATGGTGCTGCTGATGATGATTGGGTACAAGCCGTCTTGGACCATTTGTCTCGAGCTCAGAGGCCATAAAAGAGAGCTGATCGTCATACCAATGTGAAGGAGATGAGTCGTAATCTCCCATTCGTCTAACAACTGCAGGCAATCTCTTCTTGAAAACCCTACACACTACCCATCCTTCTTCCTACAACCAAATGGCACAAAGTATGATTAGCTCAAATGGTTTTAGGAGATCATAGATTGAGATGTTTTAACATAATAACCAAATAAACTGTAAAGAGAAGTTATGGTTTAGGGTTGATATAATACCTGAGGAGCACCATTTTCATCGGTTTCTAAGCGGTATTCGTGCATGATCCAATCGGATTTTTGTCCATTTGGGGCTCTCCCCATGTAGAAGACAAGTGTTTTCCTCATGCCAATAAGACTATGCCTCAAGTATATAGCCTTATCTCTTCCTGTGGCTTTCCAAAATCCTGCTTTGGTTGCTCTATTGGTTCGAGTTCCTGTGGGATACTTCTTGTCTTTATGGCTAAAGAAATACCAATCACTCTGCTCTTCATGTCCAATTTTGCACAACTCTATTTTCAAAAAAGAATGATATCATTTTTTTTTTTTAAAAAAATCCTAGGAAATTACAAAAGGTAATGTGATTTGGGGAAAACCTAGAAGATCCCATGGTTCAATCTTGTAAAGATCAATGTCTTTTATGAAATCAATTTCTATTCTCTTCGATGCAACTTTTTTCCTCAGGTAGTAGTCTACAAGTTCTTCGTCTGTTGGGTGAAATCTAAAACCCGGAGGGACGTGGGAAAATGAATTCATCGTTGCCTCTTCTTGATCAACTAAGAACCTGTTTATAAGACAAACAAATTGAAAACAAAATGATGAAGTCAGGAAAATAAGATATAATGTTATAGCTAATTACATTTATTAATTATGTGATTTTGATTTTGAGTGTTTTGTCTTAAATTCTGTCTATGCTTAATCTTTAAGAGAATAAATTCTACATTCATAACTAACAGAAATACCGTCACACATTGATTTATTACAAGAAATAGTTTTGTTACATCAATGATACATGAAGACCATTGACATGGTAAACGATCTTTCTTCGAGAACGATTTAAATTCATTTTTATTAGTATAGAGAACTGAAATTTTACCAAACATTAGCCGAAGAATCTCCAATTATCATATGATGTAGTTGATTTGATACAATTGGATGGATGCATTTCAAATTTATATATACTAGTTTACTAGATCGGTTAATTGAAGTAAAATTCTGCTTAATTATATTGCTTCCTTTGTATAACACCAGCGTGGATATATTATCACATGTAATTATATACAAATAACGAAGCAAGTTCAGAAAATGAAGAGGAGAATACTCTTTAAAGAGATGATGATGTTGGTTTCTAGATGGTTGTATTAAAATCCTATGAAAATTTTATTTCACACACAAAAAAAATGAAAACTAGTTAGTTGTTAAATTTATTAAAGTAATATATTAAATTTAGATGCTACTTTGCTTTGCTTGTAACATCAGCAAACATTGAGTATGATGAGATGATATGATGATGATAGTCAAGGTGATTGATGAAGATGATGATGATGATGATGATGATGAAGGATCGAAGATTATTCAAAAGCAAAAGCTTTTATCAAAACAAACAAAAACTCCCAAAATTATTTGTGAAGATCGAAGATTGAATATAAAGTTGACAGAAAATTAGGGTTTTACCTGAAGAAACTCTAGATTCAAGATGATTCAGCTGGAACCTTTTGAACACCTTCTAACAAAACTTTATATTTTCAGCTATATTTTATGCTCTTTTTATCATAAGTTGGAACACTCCAGCACAAAGAGAGAAGTAAGTATCTCTGGAAGAAGAGTGGGCACGATTTGACAGTGCTCCTCGGGAATAGGTTACGGAAAAGAGATATCAGATCCCGAGAGAGAAAAAAGGAATGATAGAAAGAATAGGAAAAGGAGAAAGAGAGTAGGGTTAAATAAAGAAGCTCAATGGATGAAGAAAACAAGGAGAGCGCAGACAAGACACACAACAAAAGATGACAACCGTGTCCTAATAATCTATTGTATTTTTACCTTCTTTCTCTCTTTCCACATCAATCATACTTTCTCTCTGTGAGTCCTCTTGCATCTAGAGAGAGAAAGAGAGAGGATACTTTTACTTTATTTGTTGCAAAAGCTTCGGGGGAGAAGAGAGTAAAGTAAGATTTTGAGAGAGATAGAGAGGTGGCAACATCAATTACCACCCACCAGCTCTTGATGTATATGTTTGATCACCAATATTAAGGTTCTTTTTTTTTTTTGTCCTCACATTATAAGCTTATTTTCTTGGCTTTATAGTTTGGACTTCTTTTAATGTCCAAACGAATGCTTTACATCCTAAATTAAAGCAACTCAAATAGTTATGAAAAAATCTATACATTCAGAAAATTCTCAGATATCTTTATTTTCGATAGAGTACTGTAATTATTCGAACCTTGCGGCACACAAAACACATAACCTACTTCCGTTTTTGTTCAACTGCTTGGATAGAATATTGATTTTAAACCAATTATCTACCATGAGCCTAAAGAATTATCGACTGTCTTAAGTTGAAACTTTTTAAAACCAAAATTTGACCCTTGATGACTCATTTTCCAATCCAGTGTTAATAAGTTTGTGTATACAAGAAAATACCAAACGCCAAATCATTGATTATGTGTATATATTATGTAAATATTGAAATGATCAAGATAGGATGCTTCAATGAGAAACTCTAGTCTTGATGACCCTGAGACAAATGTAACACATATTTTTGGTAGAATTACATTTCTTACAAATAATACATATTCTTAAAACTGAATTCAGATTATATAACACCTAATAGAACCACCGTGGCATTAATCGATGGACTATCAAGTCTTCTATTTCATGATACAATTTCTCATAGTTTTTATGTTTCAATTGGAAAAAGAAAAACGCGTTGTATATGACTATGTATCAGACGATATTATTATTATTTTTGTAATGAAAGGTGATCGATTTGATTTCTATCTTGGGGATTACATAACACTCAAAAGGAAAGTGACATAGGCACTTTTATTAATAATAGAATACACGACTTCACGAAGTTGAACCCGAAACGGGAGAAAGGATGTGCAATTATATCCTTATTCTTTTTACAACATGCATTTGTATCCCACAAAACAGAATATTTTTAACTATTGTTAAAAAACTTTCATCTATTATTATATTATAGTAAGAAAGAAAAAGGAGAGAATATCGAAAAGAAAAAGACAGAGTCCTCTTAGGGTTTTTGTATTGTGCAATTTCTTTTGAAACAATTCTGTAAAACTAGGCAGCTTATAGTTGATCTCCGGTTAGACATGAAGCGGATCCTTGGTAAAACTGTGACTCAGTGACTGACTATACAAAACTAAAATTAAACACAGGTAGGAGTTTGAGCGGGTTTAAGTGGAACGCGGGACCCACAAAACGGAATGATGTGCTGACGTGGTGGCTGCTGGTCCGGCGTGAGTGAGTCCTCTATCATTAGTGTCACGATTTGCTGTTGCAGGCGGGCTGGTCTCGTGGGACCCAACCCGTTTTCCGTTCTATTAAACCCTCATTAATTTTGTTGTACCATGTATATTTATGTGTAATTAATATATGATATCCGTTTTTCATATAACACAAACGAACTTTGCTAGTTCGAGTTAACATATAATGCCCGAATCGTATCTAAAGTATGTATATCTCATGGATATCAAGTAATGTTAACTAATAGAGGTTGTAAGAAGATATCTAAAATTCGTAGAGTATGTAACTATGTTTTCTTTTTCTTACTAAGTATGTAACCACGTTTTTATGGTCATTTTGACATGGAATTACCGTTACTTGCTTCAGTTAAACAACTTCTATATATGTGCTATTCTCATATTTGTAGAGCCTAGATAGTTTCTATGTATACTCCACACTTTAAGATTGATGTATGAATTGAACACAACGTAACCACGATGCAAAAAAAATCCCTTACAAAAAATGTGCGACTTATGAATTTCGTAGACGACATGCATGTTTTTCTTGCATAAATTCCTTCTAGAATGTCTAACATTTATCCGTGAATATTCAAAAATAATAATAACGCTGATATGATCATAAAATAAGTATTTCCTTAATACTCTCTATAATCCAAATCGCATTATGGAATGGACATATCAAAATGTCTCCCAATTGTTCCAACGACCGAGGGAAAAAAACCTCTGCACATAATTCTCTTCTAGTATATTCACTATTGTTAAATTCTGTAATAAATACGTTCCAGCATTTTATTTAACTAAGAAAATATATGTACAATGAAAAATGGTTTCCCATGTTAACTGTATCAATCATTGAAGTATTTAACTAATTAACTAACCAACTAACATGATATATTTATAAAAGACATATTAGGTAAGTTCTATTTAGAATATGGGTAGAGTTTGTGTTTAGGTGAGCTTATCAAATGTCGGATGGTTATGCGGCTGATCTTAGGGACTTCGGGGCAAAGATTTGGTGTCTAAGTTAATAAAACTGCAATAAAGAATTACAAAATAAAGTAACAGAAAGGAAATTGGAAAAGCTTTGTTTATGTACATATATTATTATTTTTTTTTGCTTTTGTGTGTTGTTGAAACGAAGCATAGAAGTGAAGCATAAGTAAAGACCGTGATCCAAAAGTGTCATTTTTGGTCCTGCTTCGCCTTGTCACTTATCTATTTGATGATGAAATAAAATTATATTAAGTAATTCCACACTTTCACTCTACATACTAGAAATGTGTGTGTTTTGTGAACTTTTAGTAAAGAGGTGTCTCGCGTTCACTAGTTGATTACTAGAATATAATGGTCGGTACTAATGCATAGATTAATGACAGTTTAATCAAATTATTTTCTTCTGAGGACAGCTAATGGATATGCTAATATAACTTTAGGTTTGGATAGGTGAATGGTGAGCTCTCATTGGGCCACCTACCATAAGTTGAATATTAAAATGAGATTAAAATACTAATTTTTATGATCGAATCCAAGTTTATACGTTACAAAATGGTCAATATAATATTTCTCATAGATCCTGCTGAAATTGCAAGTTACCACTCAGTATATATACTAAAGCTATATATAATAATTTTGGATTCTAGAAGAACAATTTCCATGAAAATTTCTTGGGACTACTATTTTTTCTTTTATAGAAATGATAGCATGCTAAAAAAGTTCAAGTAAGTTTATCTATAAAAGAAAAAAAAAAGAAAGTTCAGTGTATAAAACCTTCAAGGCAACTAATTTAGCTATCCTATATACGCATGGGCAAGGTGGCAGAAAATTTTCTTATTAAATCTTAAATTTAGTTACAAAAATATTCTGCTATATTATCTTACAACCTACAATGATTACCATGACACCTTAAGTAAGAATAAGGCCTGATAAATTATTAACTCTTTATATGTAATTGTATAACTGAAACTATTTGAACGGTCCAACTCTAAGGCTTTTCAGTTTTAGGGTTTGAAGGGAGTTTGCGCATGAACACGTTGTGTAAATCCATTCGACGAGAAGATACATTTCTTCACTACTTGTCCCATAACCCTAATCATTACGAGAAGCCCTTAGAATTGAATCACGTGGGAAAGTTTGTTCCTTTTGTCAGCTTCTTGTCCCATGTGAAAACACTTATTACATGTGAAATCACTTACATGTGAAAGATTCTACCAATATCCTACTTATTAATGTTTGGTTTGATCTTACAGTTACGAATAGTTATGCTGTCGCTACTCGCTAGCCAGATGCGAAATCGGTAATTATTCAGCTAAATCACTTGAACTGAGACAGATCAAATTATGAATAAAAGAAGAAGAAGAACAAATCTTGAATCAATTCGCTGAATCTCTCATATATAGTACATAAAAACGAGGACAAAATAATTTCAGTGATTCAAATTTCCGAAATAATTGATATATATGTGTGTGATATAAAATCATGCATATGTGCACGACATCAAATTTCTCAATTATTATTTATTCGATTGTTGTATGTGTAAACAATTAAGTTTTAATATCATATATTGTGGATTAGTATTATGGTTTTTGTCTGCTATTACATGATCGTTGTATGAGTTTCAAAGCATACTCCGCCAGTCTGCCTCAGTAAATAAGTTATAGGCCCACTATTTGTAGATGTAAATAATAAGCTTACAGTAAACTCTCTTTTTCTAAAATCACATTAAATTCTGATAATTAGTAAAGAAATTATCATTAGTTATCATACGTAGCAATAATTTAAATGAAAGGTTAAAAATAACCTAAATATATAACTTTAATCACTATACTGCACACCAATCGATTAACTATTTTCATGGCATATGAATCATTGAATACGAAATTTACTGATGATTTGCAGTTCGACCAATACTTACTCAAGAAACTCAACTAATAATGACCTCTAATTAGTTTCGATTGTAATGTCACTCCTCATTCCAAGAGATAAAATAAACCCAATGAGATGTCGATATCAGAAATTTTAATAATTTGGAATGGATGTTTTGATATTTAGGAAAACATCATCAGCAACCATATGGTATATAATATATTGTTACAAAAAACCATATGGTATATATCATATTACTTCGTTGACAAAAAAAAAAAAAGTATATATCATATTACTTTATATATATATGAGTTGAATGTATCTTTATGTGCGAATGTAACAGTCAACCATTTTGCAAAAATAAATATACAGACCGCCTTCAAGATTTCATAGTCGGCACAGCTCAAGGAGTGTGACTAATAATTACAAGTTATATGTTATTTATATTTGTCCATTTACATAATTTTTTCTTAAAAAATGTGTGATGTTATAGAAATGGGAGTTATGATTGCATTTTGGTTTATATGTCTTCTTCGGGACAATAGTACTAATTATAGCAGTCATCATAAGAAAAGGAGAAAAGAACACAAATTAAAAGAGACTCATGTTAAGAGAAAAAACAACATAAATTAAAAAGAGACTGATGTCTCATAGAGTATCAGTCGGAATAAAGTTAAGTGAATTGAAAAAAAAACAAGTCCTAATAAAGAGCAGTAAAATGGTGAAATTTTACTATCCCAGTCAGAGAAGATATAAAGAATATGCATGCGATAAAGAGAAATTTTCCGACTCTGCTTTGGCTCATACATTAAACAACTACAGTCTTTCCAATGCACTGAGAAGTGAGAAAGAACAATCTCTGAGCTAAATATGTGTTCAAGATAAACATTACATTTACATGTATTAGTCAAAGACTGTATAAAGAAAGTCTAAAATGACGTGTAATAATTGAATTTATCTATACTATTAAAGCTGAAGTACAAAAAGTTAATTGTTTGGAAACATGAATAGAAAATATTTAAAATTATGATGATTGGAAACAATGATAGGATTGCTTACAAATCTAATGGGCTTATTTATTAAAATAAAGATTATTGCGGCCCAATGTATTATTATTATTGTTTTTGTGTTTTCTATCATTTATATTACTTTACTTCTGAAAATTATTTATACATATATGTGTTCATGTTTTAAATATACCTAGAATAAATCAAGAATACTATATATTTTATTTATATAATTTATACACCAAATTTAGCCAAAAAAAAATTTATAAACTATTATTAAAATATTTACGGGTCACAACATTTTACGATGCCTCTGTTACACAATACAATGATAAAATACAATGTTTAGACATTATACTATTACTTAGTAAAATTGAAACCATTAAATTATAATTTTGAAATGTTATAGATACCATAAAAACAAAGACCCGTCCAGTCGGACGGGTCATGATCTAGTATACATTAAACCACATTAAATTTAGCCTTCAAATCCTAAAAAGTCAGAGAAAAAGAAATGTACAACAGAATAAGAAACCATACAAATATATGCTAACTTGATACATAAGTTTCCCTAATGAAATCGAACCGGAGAAGAAACCGTGGCTCAACTAATAACCGGAGCTCCTTAAACGACATCGTTTAATCACTCTTATTGTTTAAAACGCGAGTAAAAAACGTAACACCCACGTAATCCCTCGCATCCTAACGGTCATTCTCTCTCCCAAGAACTCAACCATGGCTGACGAAGAAGCCAAAGCTCTAGGAAACGCCGCCTTCTCCTCCGGCGACTTCCCCACCGCCATACTCCACTACACCACCGCCATCTCCCTATCCCCAACCAACCACCTCCTCTTCTCAAACCGCTCCGCCGCTCACGCCTCTCTCCGCAACTACACCGACGCTCTCTCCGACGCCAAGAAAACCGTGGAACTCAAACCTGATTGGTCCAAAGGCTACATCAGCCTCGGAGCCGCTCACTTAGGGCTAAACCACTTCAAAGAAGCCGTCGCGGCTTACCACAAAGGGCTTCAGATCGATCCCAGCAACGAGGCGTTGAGATCAGGATTAGCCGATGCTCGAGATTCCGCTATTCGCGAGGCCTTCAAAGGGGAAGAGATGTGGACTAAGCTTAGGTTAGATCCTTCGACGAGAGGCTTTCTGAAACAGCCTGATTACGTGAAGATGACGCAAGAGATTCAGAAGAACCCTAGAAATCTCAGTTCTTACGTGAATGATCAGAGAGTGAGGCAATCTGTTGGAGTTTTATTGAATTTTAAGGGCAGAGGAGACAAGAAGGAGAAGAAGCAAGAGATGAAGGAGAGAGCTGAAACGGAGAAAATATTAGGGACCACTGCGTTTAAGAACAGTGAATTCGAAGCTGCGATTCAGCATTACTCTAAAGCTATTGAGTTTGATGATGAAGACATCTCTTATATCACGAACCGTGCAGCTGTTTATCTTCAAATCGAAAAGGTATAGTTAGTAGTAGTAGTCTCTTCATCTTTTGTCAGTGAGGGTTAATAGTAATGATAATCAATGTGTTTGTTTGATTGATTGGTTTCAGTACAACGAGTGTATAGAGGATTGTGACAAGGCGGTTGAGAGAGGTAGCGAGCTAGGATCAGATTACAACAAGATCATGGTAGCTAGAGCTTTAACTAGGAAAGGAACTGCTTTTACCAAGATGGCGAAATGCTCTAAAGACTATGATCCTGCTTTTGAAGCTTACCAAAGAGCTCTTACAGTGCATCGTAATTCTGAAACGTCGAGTAAGCTTCACCAAGCTGAAAGTGCAAAGAAAGAATGGGAGAGGCAGGAGTATATTGATCCCAAGATTGGTGATGAAGAGCGTGAGAAAGGTTTATTTCTTTTGCAAACTAGTCTTGTGACACTTAAAGAACCATAAAAACTGATGAGAGTGTTCTTTTAATGTTAGGTAATGAGTTATTTAATAAGAAGAAGTATCCTGATGCGATAAAGCAGTACACTGAAGCTATCAAAAGGAATCCGAAAGATCATAAGGTAAAGAGCACTTTGTTATTCATATTTTTTTACAGTTTGATTTCATGTTTTTGACTGTTTGAATATAACGAATAGGCATATAGCAACCGAGCTGCTTGTTACGTTAAGCTTCGTGCTATGCCGAATGGACTAGAAGATGCAGAAAAATGTATTGAGATTGAACCAAAGTTCTCTGGAGGATACTTCATAAAAGCTGAAGTTGAGTTCTACTTAAATGAGTATGACAATGCGATGAAAACATACCTAGAAGGTCTTAAACATGATCCTAACAACCAAGAACTTCTGGATGGTGTTACAAGGTATTATTACACACACACATGCTTAAACGAGGTTATTAACCCTTTATCTATTGCCGCCTAATGTGGTCCTAAAAATATTCTGCAGCTGTATACAAGAAGTTAACAAGGCTAAATGTGTGAAAGAGAGACGGGTTAGACTCTTAATGATTCTCTATGTATATGTTGAAGAAAACCAGGTTGTGAAATTGGGAACTCCTTTTTTTACTTGTGTTTTGTAGGCAAAGGGGATGAAAGACCAAGAAATCCGAAGCATCCTCACAGATCCTGTGATAAAACAGGTAAAGAAACAGATTGTGATTGTGTCATCAGGCAACTAAAGCTGCAAAAGTATTTGAATCAAATTTCTTACCACCGATGTTACGTTTTGTTGTGATAGAACTGAATATGTTTGAGGAATCGGATTAACAATGTAAAACTTTTCTTTTCTCTAAACAGGTAATGTCTGATCTTGAGGAGAATCCGAGCGCAGCACAGAAACAAATGCAGAACTCAGAGATTATGAGCAAGATTCAAAAGCTTATTAGCGCCGAAATGATCCACAGATGAAGAGTGGAAACATCAAAAACCCATTTCTGCATTCTTCACTCTTTAATATCCAACTTGCAACGATTGTAAATTTTGTGACCGATTCTTATGTTTCCTGACGTTTATATGTGTTACTGCAATCACTTTTACTGACATTCTTCATTTTAATGACAGTGAATATTATAACTAAATATGTTTATTTATGAAAGCAATTAACTAAATTATCATATTTGATTTAATATTAAAAAAATTAAAGTAACTGGAAATAAATATGTAAAGTAAAAGTACAAGTTGTTAAGTATAAATAATGAAGTATTAAATCTAGTAAGACATCAAACTAATACCTCTTCCTTGCCTTATTGATTCCACAACAACTTGTGCAGGCAGTGCATGAAGCAATAGAGGTTTTGGAATCCTATGCAATGCACGTTACCATCTGCTATGTCAAGAAAATGATTCTAAGATCACACAAATTCGTATTCCAACATTCATAAAAATCAAGAGCTTCCTTTGTTTCTTAATTATGTTCATGGACTTGCATATATTCCATATTAAGATTAAAAATAAATTTAGTTATAAAGTCCTAAAATAAATATACAACAGAATAAGAAACCATACAAAATATGCTAACTTGATACGGAAGTTATCCTTCTAATGAACCATAATCGAACCGGAGAAGAAACCCTGGGTCACTGATAACCGGAACTTTACGCTAAAGTTATCCTAATGAACCATAATCGAACCGGAGAAGAAACCCTGGGTCACTGATAACCACAGCTTTCCAAACCAACGTCGTTTAAAGCCCGCGTATTATTTAAAGGGTCTTGACGAGGGTAAAAAGGTAAACAACCACGTAACAAACTATTTATTCCCTCGCTTCTTAACGGTTCTTATCTCTCCCAAGACTCTCATAACTAACAAGAATCTCTCAAGTCAACCCCATGGCTGACGAAGAATACAAAGCTCTAGGAAACGCCACCTTCTCCTCCCGCGACTTCCCCACCGCCATACTCCACTACACCACCGCCATCTCCCTATCCCCAACCAACCACCTCCTCTTCTCTAACCGCTCCGCCGCACACGCCGCTCTCCACAACTACACCGACGCTCTCTCCGACGCCAAGAAAACCGTCGAACTCAAACCTGACTGGTCCAAAGGCTACATCCGCCTCGGATTCTCTCACTTACGGCTAAACAACTTCAACGAAGCCGTCGCTGCTTACAACAAAGGGCTCGAGATCGATCCGAGCAACGAGGCGTTGAGATCAGGAGTAGCCGATGCTCGTGCTTCAAGATTGGATCATATTCACAGTTCTTTCAAGGGTGAAGAGATGTGGACGAAGCTTGTCTCTGATCCTACGACGAGTGGCTTTCTGAAACAGCCTGATTACGTGAAGATGATGGAGGAGATTCATAAGAATCCTAGCGGTAATCTCAATTCTTACGTGAAGGATCAGAGAGTGATGAAATCTGTTGGAGTTGTGACGAATCTTAAGCTCAGAGGAGACAAGTCTGAGGTTGAGAAGAAGGAGAGAGCCGAATGGGAGAAAGAGTTAGGGAACGCTGCGTTCAAGAAGAGAGACTTCGAAGCTGCGATTCAGCATTACTCTAAAGCCATGGAGTTTGATGATGAAGACATCTCTTGTATCACTAACCGTGCAGCTGTTTATCTTCAAATGGAAAAGGTATTAATCTTTTTTTATCAGTTAGGGTTAAGGAATAATAATCAATGTGGTTTGGTTGATTGGTTTCAGTACAAAGAGTGTATAGAGGATTGTGACAAGGCGGTTGAGAGAGGTAGCGAGCTAGGATCAGATTACAACAAGATCATGGTAGCTAGAGCTTTAACTAGAAAGGGAACTGTTTTTGTCAAGATGGCGAGATGCTCTAAAGACTATGAACCTGCTATTGAAGTTTATCAAAGAGCTCTTACAGTGCATAGTAATCATGAAACGTTGAGGAAGCTGAACCAAGCTAAAAGAGCAAAGAAAGAGTGGGAGATACAGGAGTATATTAATAAGATTGGTGATGAAGAGCGTGAGAAAGGTTATTTCTTTTGCAAACTAGTCTTGTGTTGTTGTGTGAGAACAAAAACTGATAAGAGAGTGGTTTTGTAATTCAGGTGATGAGTTTTTTGAGAAGAAGAAGTATCCAGATGCGATAAAGAAGTACACTGAAGCAATCGAAAGGAATCCGAAAGATCTTATGGTAAAGAGCACTTTGTTATTCATATATGTTTCTACAGTTTGATTTCATGTGTTGACTGTTTGAATATAACGAATAGGCATATAGCAACCGAGCTGCTTGTTACAATAAGCTTGGTGCTATTGCTAACGAACTAGAAGATGCAGAAAAATGTATTGAGATTGATTCAAAGTTCTGTGGAGGATACATCAGAAAAGCTGCAGTTGAGTTGTACTTGAAGGAGTTTGAAAATGCAATGAAAACATACGTAGCAGGTCGTGCAAATTGTCCTGAAAATCAAGAACTGCTCGATGGCGTTACAAGGTATGTTTACACCACTCACATTCTGCTTAAACAAGGTTTATTAACCCTTTATCTATTGCCGCCTAATGTGGTTCTAAAAATATTCTGCAGCTGTATACAAAAAGTTAACGAGGCTAAACGTGGTGGTCTTACTCCTGAGGAATTGAAAGAGAAACGGGTTAGACTTCTAACGATTCTCTATGTGTATGTTGAAGAAAATAAGGTTGTGAACGTGGGAACTTCTTTTTTACTTGTGTGTTTGTAGGCAAAGGGGATGGAAGACCCAGAAATCCAAAGCATCCTCACAGATCCTGTGATAAGACAGGTAAATAAACAAACTTCATCTTTCAACTTGTGGAATGTGATTGTATCATCAGGCAACTAAAAAGCTGCAAAAGCATTTGAATCAAATACCTTACTATGGATGTTACAACCTGTTGTGATAGATCTGACTATGTTATTAGGAATTGGATTAACAGTGTAAGCGTTTCTTCTCTTAACAGGTAATGTCCGATCTTGAAGAGAATCCGAGCGCAGCAAAGAAACAAATGGAGAACACAGAGATTATGAGCAAGATTCAAAAGCTTATTAGCGCCAGGATAGTCCAGATGAAATAGTCTCAGAAGAGTTGAAACATTAAAAATCCATTTCTGCATATTCGTTTTTTCTTCACTCTCCAACTTGCAACAGTTGTAAAATTTGTTACCGATTCTCAAGTTTGCTGACGTTTATATGTGTTTCGTACAAACTGCAATCACTTTTTAGTGACATTCTTCATTTTAATGACAGTGAACTCGTCTTGATTATATTTTGCGTTGCTTAACATTTTATTTGTAATCTAATACAAGAAAAACATTCAGAACAGAGAGCAGGACATTCGTAAGCCATACCTGGACTTGAGGGAGCCTACCACGACGCCCTGTAAACTCTTCTTTGCGCATCATCTTGCTTTGCCTTGAGTACCTCTATGTCTTTCTGCAGAGCAGCTAGATTCTCGGAAAGTCTGTGGATATAACGCCCATTGATGCAAAGACACTGACCACTTGATCACATGGCATCAAGATCGAGAATCAACCTCCCATTGCTGCCAATAGAAAGCAATAAGGCCTCTCAAAACCAAGATAAAACAGACTCTATATATTCAATTCACAAATTTAAGGCATCAATCTCAAAATGATAGTTCAGAAAACATGGAGGCAATTTAAAGGGTCACAGATACAAATCCAATTAAACACTTAAGGACACAAAGTGGTAGAAGAAACGGAAGAACAGAACAATACACACGATTAAGAAACAAAGGACATGCAAATGAGAGGAGTGACATACAAGACATTTGGAAGCTTTCTCTGGCTCAAACATCATACAAAACCAACTTGCAGGAAGGTAAGAAACGGAGTCTCGTGTCTTCGTCAGCCCATTCAACCTTTTCTTTCCATTCTTCATCTCCGTACTCTATGACAAGCTCTTCACCCGCAACGCAACTTTGAGAATCCAAAGGAAGCTTTCTCAGCTTTTGACAATCGTTTTGTACGTTGATCAGATTCAAATATGGAAATGGTAATGGACTCCAGTAGATGCTCATCAGCTCAGGTAAGTCCCACAAGTGTAGATATTCTAGCTTCCTAAAAGGAACAACATCAACCCCTGCAGCGTTCTCTTGGCTTATTATCTCTTCTAGCTGGCTTGAGTTCCACACACTGAGATGAGTGAGGTTAGGAGCGAACAATAGCCAAGTCAAATCCTTGAGACCATTGCAACCAGCGATCAAAACTTTAGATAGGTGAGGTAAGCATGGACTCGTCAACTTTGTGTTCCTCTCTATCATTATTTCCCGGATTCCACACCCTCCTATGAAGACTTCACGGAGATCTTCTATCGATGGCAAAGTCAAAACTCTCACTGACTCTTCCTCGATGTACCTAATAGATAGCTTTTGAAGACATCTTACCAACCTTTGAGAGCACAAGAGTTGTTTCAGTACCGAACTGGACGTGATCTCTATGGTCAGAACTTCTAAATGTTCCAAACGTTCCAGCTCCTCCATAGTTGGCCACATTCTGAAATTAAGTAGCTTCAACGTCTTCAAACTCGACAGATTCGATATCCCTGAGACACCTTCAAGGCATAACATAGACTCTAGATTCAGATGCATCAGCCTTTTCAGTTTTTGTAAACCAACTGGTAAACTCACAATGTTTGACTCTGACAAGTCAAGATACCGCAGTGAAACCAATTCTGATATTTGCTCAGGTAAGACTTTGAGATCAACGTTCCATGAAAGATCCAAAACAACTAGTCTTGGCATAGACCGGAAGAAATCACCAGAGATACTTACTAGACAGCGGTTGCTCTGAAGAAGAAGAGTTGTAAGCTTGGGACACTCATGACTTTCATGTATCTCTTTAATCTTGTTATTCACCAGTGACATCCTTGTCACAAGTTGCCAGTTCTGGACCTTTGGTACTTCGTTTAACCCCACACCAGCTCGTACAATGTAACTCTCTTTATGCTTCTCAAGATCAGATGCTATCCACAGGGCCATCTCTCGAACCACATCATGCATTCTCACGTATGATTTGTTGTCGTACTTCCCTCCTTCCTGTAACAAAGAGGCACACACAAGGGTTCCAAGTATCTCATAGCCTTGGTTCACAGATCTTTCCTTACTCTCATAACCATCAATGAACCCTTCACATATCCAATAATCTATTAACCTCTCTTTGTTTATTAGAGTGTCTTCAGAAAACAGAGAACAATACAAGAAACAAGATTTGACATTGTCACCTTCAAGATTATCATAGCTGTACTTCAAGATAGGAAGTATCTTCTCCTTCACGTCACTAAAATCCGCAGCATACGTTTTCAAAACATCAACCGCATGATACCATTCTTGTGTGGTCTTCTTACATGACATTGTCTCTCCAATGACGTTTAACGCTAGAGGCAAGCCACGACATGCTCCAGCAACTTTTCTTGCGATCTTGGGAATGTCAGGATGTCTTTCTAGTGTGTTCTGTCCAACTTTCTTCTTGAATAAGTCCCATGCATCGTTTGTACTTAAACATTGTACCTCCATTGGTTCATGGACTCCCATGCTTGTACATACGCCTAGAGAGCGAGTTGTGAATATTATCTTGCATCCGTTTTGGCTTGTAGGATTAGGGATACCAATCTCTGTTAAATCTACTTTCCTCCATATGTCATCTAAGAGTAACACAAATCTTTTCTTGCTTAGAAAGTTGAATATGTCTAATGCCTTTTGGTTTTCTTTTCTCTTCTTCCATTCCACTCCTATGTATCCTATCTTGTTGCCTATCCTGTGTTGTATCTTGCGGACTTGTAGATCACCGGACACCACAACCCAAATGACTATCTCAACACAATCATGTGTGTGACACAAGTCGACAAACTTATTGTTGATCTGTGTGAGAAGAGTTGTTTTCCCTACTCCACCCATACCGTAGAGACCCATGATATTAGTTCCATGATCCATGAGGTGGTTCCATGCCTTTTCAAGAACTGTTTCCTGACCAACGACCGTTGGGGTTAAAGGCCTTTCCTCTCCCACAGCTCTAGCCGCTGGAGTAGCCACCTCTTCGAAAAAACCTTTAGATTTCAAGTCTTCAACCGTTTTCAACATCTTGAAGACCCTCTTTCCGTAAAGATAACTCACTCTTAAGTTCGTGGGGACAGCACCATTGAAACACAACCTCTTAAGCTCAACATCTCTAGTACTATATAGACCATTGAACTGAGATTCAATAGACTCGACTCTCTCAAGCCATACCTTGATTTGATGAAGCCTTTGTAAACCTCCTCCTTCTTCTGCTGCCTGCACTTTCCGTAGCAGATCAGATCGCACCGCATTGAGATCTTCCATGGCCGTCTCCAAAGCAACAAGATTCCTCTTGAGGTTTTGGATATATTTAAGTTTGCTGCAGAAGCAGCTACCGAGACGGCTCAGCGCTTGATCGCATGGTGCTTGGGATTGGATTTGGAGAGAGATACAATTACCCATCTTGCAATTGATACACAAAAGACAAATTCACAAATGCAAATTAGTCTTGACGCCTTGCAACTAAACTTGCAAAAGGTAGGTAGCTTCTTAAATCTCTCTCCTACACCTTGTAATTTGGTGGAAATTGTTTAAGTAAGTCAAAGTCTTGCTTTGTAGGGTCACTATGCATGGTAGCATCATAGTTTTTTCTGTAATAGCAAGATTCCAAGAATAAGACAATTGTAGGCGCAAATACAGTAGCCATGTCACTTTCATCTATATACTAAACAATGAGTCGACTAGAAAATTAATTTTTTAATTTTAAACATAATATAACCAAAACATAAAGAGACAGTAGTGGTAAAAGAAAGAGAAACATACCAATTCAGGGTTCGTGTGTAAGCGTTACATGAACCTGTATGAAAGTGCAGGGACTTTCTCAGCTTTGGACTCAAGTAGTTACACATGAGAGATGGATTCTTGATCAAGTGAATGTATGATATGGAAGGAGTAGGCAAAAATCTTAACTTCAATCTTACAAATTATGACAATCCAGTTCAGAACCTCAAAAGCTTGGCATCTATTAGAGTGAAAGGAGTGAACTTTGCCTACTTCACCCATACATACAAACACGTAATCTCTAATCCATCTTTGATGAGAAGAACCAACCTCCCATCACTGTACAAAAAAAAAAAACAGAGGATAAGTAACAGTAATTAGCGGGTGAATTAAAATTTTAAGACAGAGAACGAGGTTTGAGTTTGGAATCATTCTTTCTCAGGAAAAGTAAACTAATTGTTGTTAAAGTGTCAGTCTTTTCTTTACTAGATCCTTTGAAGTTCTAAGAGATAACACATTCGATGCAAAAGAGTGTTACTTGAGCAGGAGTAAAGTCTCAAACAATGGCAGTACCTGCGAAGCGAGGTTTTGTTCTCGATATCAAGCCTTAACCCTCCATCGAGATGGGTGTTGTATTGTAGGTTCAGATTACTCCCACCGAGTGACTCTCCCGTGAACCGACGACTGTTACCTGGTATAGAAGATACAGGGCCCTGCTATAACAATGAGGCCCAACTAACTTTCCTCTAAAAGGGCCCAAGTAACTTTCCTCTCAGTTAATCATACTGTAACAAATTAGATGCCATTGTTTAACGGAACGTTAATGAAAACAAAGGTCCCGTTGATGAAAACAGAGCCTCTGTTTCCATCTTCATTCTCTTTCTTGTTTCATCAGGAAAACAAGATTCATTGTACGTTCATGGCACTTTGCTTGCCATAGTACTTTTGATCAGATCAACTATATAGGGTACAACTCTCTAGACCGTCAAAATCAACGCAAACATAAGCACATATAACATTAGCAATTAAGAGTAATGAGATTCACATAAGACAACAATTATATAAAACAGACATGAATATATCACATAGGCACACTAATCTTTTTGAAAGAGGACTCAGAGAGGAGCAGACCAATATGACAGCTGAAACAGGTTTTGGAAACCTATTGTGGCTCATTGGGAAGGATTGATGGTACATAGGAAACGCTTTTTAGTCGCTTCATCTTCCCATTCAACCTTTTCTATCCAGTATTGTTCTCCATTATGAATGACAAGCTCTTCACCCGGGATGCTGCTGCCACTTTTAGAATCCAGTGGAAGCTTTCTCAGATTAGGACACCTCCCTATGTTTAACTTCTTTAGACGTGGGAAAGGTAGAGGACTCCAGTAGATGCTCTTCAGTTTTGGTAGATTATACACTTGGAAATGCTCTAGTTTTCGAAAAGGAATAATGGTACCTGCCTCTTCTATGAGAATATCCGCAGCTTTTTCTTTGCTAATTATATCTTCTACTCGAGTTGAGATAGCAACGGTAAGAACAGTAAGGTTTGGAGCGAACAAAAGCCATGTCAAGTCCTTTAGACCATGGCAATAACTTAAACGCACTGTTGAGAGGCTTGGAAAGCTTGCTGTTGTTGGACTTTTCCTCCATGATGGTGTTCTCCTCTCGATATTTATCTCTACCATAGCACTTTTATACATCTCGAGCGTACAAAGAACCGCCATATTTGGAAAAGTAAATTTTGCTTCCTCCTGAAGATGTTCAATAAATAGCTCATGGATAGCATTAGCTACTCTGGGAGCCTTGAACAATTGATCTGCAACTGAACTTGACCCGATATCTATGGTTACCGCTTCTAAATGTTTTAAGAGCTCCAGTTCCTTGATTACATTGAGATCGTGTGACAATTTGTTACGTCGTAGTCGCAGTGTCCTCAATCTCGACAAACTAGATATACCAGAAATACTCTCAAGTCCCGTTCTCTCCAAATTCAGATATATCAGCTTTTGCAATTTTAGTAAGCCTGCAAACAGACTCTGTATAGCTCCATTCTCCGACAAGTCTAGATATCGCAAGGAGAACAACTTTGATATATCCGTTGGAAATCCATTTATAAATCGATTATCTGATAGATCCAATACTACTAACCTGGGCATGTACTTGAAGAATTCATCTGAGATATTTAAGAGCTCATTTTTCTGGAAGAGCAGAGTTGTAAGCTCAGAGCAGTTGGGACTGTCATGTATGTTTTCAATCTCGTTGTACATCAACGACATTCTTCTCACAGAGCTCCAGTTCTCCACAGTTGGTACTTCACTTAAACCAACACCAGCTTTCACAATACATCTCTCATTATCCTTTCTAAAATTAGATGCTATCCACAATGCCATCTCACGAACCACATCATGCATTTTCACCTTCGATTTGTCTTCTCCTTCTTCAATCAGTAAACAAGCTTTGACAAGGGTACCAATTACCCCGTAAGCCTGGTTTGTAGCATAATTTTTACCTTGCTTTTCGTCTATGAATTCTTCGCATATCCAGTAATCAACCAACTTCTCTTTTTGTATTGCAAAATCTTCTGGAAAAAGAGCGCAATATTGAAAACAAGACTTGATTTGGTGGGCATCTCCAAGCTTATCGTAACTATACTTCAAAACCATAAAAATATGGTCTTCCATACCAGGAAATTCAGCAGCATTGGAAGCAAGAGTGTCTTTTGCTAGCTTCCATTCTTGCACCGTCCTCTTGGATGACATATTTTTACCCATGATATTCAGCGCCAATGGTAAACCTTGACATTTTTCTGCAACTTGGCATGCGAGCTCACGAATATCTGGGTGGCTTTCTAATGTCATTTCCCCAACTTTAGCACAGAACAAGTCCCAAGCTTCGTCACGACCCAAACATTTTACTTCCATTGGGTCATGAACTCCCATTTGGCCACATACTTCCCTTAAACGAGTGGTGAATACTATTTTGCATCCGTTTTTCTTTGTTGGAGTTGGGACCCCTATTTCTTTTAGATCTATTTCCCTCCAAATGTCATCCAATAACAAGACAAACTTCTTATTCTTCATACGACCGTATAAGTCACTCACCTTCTCGCTTGTCTCTTTTTCTTTCCAATCTTCTTTAGTGAAGCCTAGTTTCGCACCAATCTCATCTTGAATCTTCTCGTTCGGTTTATCCTTTGACACCACAACCCAGATTACTTTGTCAAATCCACCATTTGCGCCAGAAAACTTATTGTTGATTTGTTCAAGAAGAGTTGTTTTTCCTACTCCCCCCATGCCATATAGACCCATAGACTGGGTTCCCTCATCCATGATGCGGTTCCATGCACTTTCGAGTATTGTTTCCTGACCAACAATAATGGGTTGTAGATCCCTTTCCACCACCGCATCTCCCATAGGTGGTACAGCTACCGCATTGAGATCTTCATTTAATTTGCGCTCCGTGAGCTCTCTAACATCTTCCAACATAGAGAAAACCTCTCCCCCGTAACGAAACCTTGACACCAATTTTCTTGAGCAAACATCACAAAGAGACGACCCTTCACGTGTACAAGCCGTAGTCGTTTCATGTGCCTGTTTTTCAATCTTCTCGACAGCAGCAAGCCATACCCCAACTACATGAAGCCTCTGTAGACCTGTTTCCTCGGCCCTATCCACCCTTGCCGAGACATCATCTCGCCTTGCGGTCAGTACTTTTATGGCTTTTTCCAGAACATCTAGATTCTTGTCGAGCCTACAAATATGGTTGACTTCGGCACAAAAGCAGGTACAGAAAAGATTAACTACGAACTCACTTGCTTTTCCGATAACATCATTCATCATGCAAAACCAGTAGACGATTTGCCGATCAAAAAAACTCAGATGGAAAGATCTTTGGAGTTTGTTGGTAATTTTGTGAATGAGTCCAAGTCGTCTATGTAGCTGAATCCCACACAACGTGACATTGTAATTTAATATAGTAAGCTTCCAATAATATCGATCATTATAATAATAATCATTTCCCAACTTGGTTATTTCTTGCGTCCAAGTCGTCGCTATATTAGAATCAGCAATAATGTAGATTAAAACAATGCTAGTTGCAGGCCAAAATTAAATGGTTCTGTCATTTTCCAATTTGCTGACTTTTTTTAAGAGTATGTTACCCAGAGCCGGACTTGAACATAGTTTTCTGAAACATTTGAATGGCCTCACTTTCTTTTTTTGTGTAATGCATATATGTAATATTTTGTATAGTTCTAGTCTTAGAAAATTTTCTTATTTTCACGTAAAATCTAAAATAAATTACTAGGTGAGCCGAAATGATAATAAATATTATAATAAGTAAAAGGTTTTATACCTCAATTTCATCTCTTTCTAAAAGAAAAAACAACTGTTTTGTCTAACAAAAACAGAAAGCTGTGTCTATTATAAAATTAAATTTTTAAATTTTAATTTAACTTTGAATAGTGCTTTTAAAATTTCAGGTCCGGCTCTGATGTCACCGGAGACATTTTTTCACAATCACAAAACAGTCCATCTATCGGTTTTCGATAAAAGCAAATGACTTCTATTTTTGGAGGGTTGAGGTGGTCGACGGTTCTTTAGGTTTTGGCAGTGACTCCAATTGGAGTGGTACCATACCTCAGTACCAGCGTTAAAGTCTCTTCACCTTCGTAGGTAGTGCTCCGCTCTGTCCTTTATGCAGGTTATGTGTTCATTTCGACCGATCAGTGTGGATGCAACTCAAATCCGTTTTTCTTGCTTGGTACTTGGTAATGGAAGTGGCTGTGTGATATTTCAGTTTCATGATACCTTCAGGTAAGTGCATATCTGGAACTTCCCATCTCTTTGCTTGGTACTTGGTAATGGAAGTGGCTGTGTGATATTTCAGTTTCATGATACCTTCAGGTAAGTGCATATCTGGAACTTCCCATCTCTTTGCTTGGTACTTGGTAATGGAAGTGGCTGTGTGATATTTCAGTTTCATGATACCTTCAGGTAAGTGCATATCTGGAACTTCCCATCTCTTTGCTTGGTACTTGGTAATGGAAGTGGCTGTGTGATATTTCAGTTTCATGATACCTTCAGGTAAGTGCATATCTGGAACTTCCCATCTCTTTTCGCTTGCGCTTCAAAATCGGTGATGATTATAAGCTTAGATTAGTTCATTGGAAACCAGCTATTCCAGAGGCAATATGAGAAATCCCCCGACATCCAAAAAAAATGAGATGAATTTCAACTTTCTATGGTCATCGTCAATGGTTGAGAGCGATATTTGATTCTCGAGAATTATAAATCCGAGCTAGCGGAACACATTGGAGATATAGGTTGAGCGAAACTAATCAGGAATAGTTTGATTCGAGAATTTTGTTCGTTGTAATCAAACCTTATTTCTAAAAAAGAAAAAAAAAATATATATACTTGAGGGCGGAGAGAGAGCAATAAGGTTATTAAGGTATTTTTACATCTATTATTGTTGGATCCCACATAATTTTTCTATTCATGTAAAAATATGTTTATTGAGTATTTTCTATGCAGATAACTCTTTTTCTTAATAAAAATACTATCAGTATTCACATCCGCATATAATAACAGAGATTCAAGCAATGCAACATAAATATACAAAAGTAAAAAAATTAACAAAAATATACAGAGTATGATGATGCATCTATCAAATCAATTTTTGAAACTTGCATGATAACCCATATAAGTTATAACCAAAAGAAAATAGTAGACCAAAGAACTTGGGAAGAGTAAAGAATTCTCTCTCCTCTTCTCCGTTCTCTCACTTCTATCTTTCACGGAGAAGGAGATGAGATTCTTTTTGTAAAATTTTCTTTTTTTGTTGTCAAAATTTCGATCAAGAGATCGAATCACTATTTTCGCTAGGCGAATTTGGTTTTCGTTTTGACGAATTTTGTTGTGATATTTCAAACCAAATCAGCTTTGTTCTTCAAGATCTTTGTTTTTTTTTCTGAGTTGGTTTGAACTAATAAAGTCCCGATCTTTGATCGGTGTTCGAACAAAAGCTCTACTTTCTTTGTTTTCCTTTTCTATTCCAATCGATTCTAAAGGGTTCATCTCTCTGGGTTAGAAAGCTTAGTCCTTGATGATGTAGAGGAATCAATCTTCGCTAATATCAAGTGGAGTCTCCTTGAAGATCATGGTCTGAGATGTGTATAAGCTAGGAGGGTTGCGACGCGGATCCAGATGAGACGGAGCTTCCATTGGCAAAAGTTCCGACAAGGTTCTGTACTCGTTCTTCTCTGAAGCTTATCTTGGAACAGATATCTAACAAGTGATGAAGATCTCTGGAAGAATCGATGGCGACAAGAAGAAAGAGGAGCATACAAGCAGCTCAAACGAAACGGGAACGGAGTCCGACGTTGTGTCCGGCAGAGCTCCGGCGACGCTTTCTCTCACCTCGTTTCAGCACAAAACGAAGCCACCTGGTGCAACGTGTCACACATGCGACAAGCCTTATCTTGTTGTTTTGGTTTTCGTTAAGGCTAAATAAAAATGTATCTTGGGTTGTCTGCTTGTAATACATTGCCCATTGGGCTTATCAATGAAACGTTAGGTCGACAAAAAAAAAAAAAAAAACTTGCATGATAGCATCAGATTAAAAGTAATGTTTTGTTTTACCATCTATTTAACAGAGCTACTATAACAAGCATCCAAGCAACTCCTAGTCAAGAACCAAGACAAGGACAACAAAAATGTAACATCCCGGTTTGTGGTATATGGAAAGGCTTAAGAGAATTGATTTGGCTACCTATGTCACCAAAGTGCACTTACCTTTTCGGGAACACATCCAGAGAGAACTCTAGAGTTAAGCGTGCTTGAGCTGGAGTAGTCTAAGGATGGGTGACCTATCGGGAAGTGATTTGCGATACCGTGTAAGTGAGGCCAAAGCACGGGGAAAGGTCATGTGGTGATTGCAGGGTCAGTAAACATGACTCTAGAGACTTGGAAAATTAATGGACCGACCGGAACGGGGTGGGCCCCACGGGCCGAGAGAGCGGGCGTGGGTGGCCCATTAGCTGTGGACGGTCGGGGCGTTACAAGTGGTATCAGAGCTGGTTAGCCGTCTCAGTTCTGACCTGAGAGGCGTCTTGAGACATGTCGAGGAGCGCAACAGGGGCGTTGCGTTCTTTGAGAGGGGGTGAATTGTAACATCCCGGTTTGTGGTATATGGAAAGGCTTAAGAGAATTGATTTGGCTACCTATGTCACCAAAGTGCACTTACCTTTTCGGGAACACATCCAGAGAGAACTCCAGAGTTAAGCGTGCTTGAGCTGGAGTAGTCTAAGGATGGGTGACCTATCGGGAAGTGATTTGCGATACCGTGTAAGTGAGGCCAAAGCACGGGGAAAGGTCATGTGGTGATTGCAGGGTCAGTAAACATGACTCTAGAGACTTGGAAAATTAATGGACCGACCGTTGGAACGGGATGGGCCCCACAGGCCGAGAGAGCGGGCGTGGCTGGCCCATTAGCTGTGGACGGTCGGGGCGTTACAAAAAATTACCATAACAAGAACTACAATATCAAGGCATAACGAACTTCCAAGGCATAAAGGAGTAAAATCCAACAGCACACCATGATTTAGTCTTTACCCTTCAACACCACGTGGAGGGGTACCAAAAAAGCTTAAGAAGAGACACAAATTCTTTAAAACATTTCGAAGTCTATTGCTTTTCATTTCAAATACCAACACACCAGTCCTGGTAACAGATACTAACAATAAGACTTGAATAGGATAAATGCTTATGAATGATGCGGAACAAGAAAAACCAACACAAACACATTTTGACATTTAAAAGAGCTAAAAGTAAACACATTGGGCACAAAGAGTGAAACATTCTTATGATAAAAGTGGAAAGGAAACATTCTCATTAGAAAAGAAACAAAAACAAAGTTAGTTACTAATCCACAACGCAATTCTCTCGACTCAACAAATCAAATCCAAACTTTAAGCAAAAAAATTAGATCTCACTTAGCAACCATCCTAGCAATAAAATCCTCATACTTAATCTTCCCATCGGATCCAACATCAACCTCCTTGATCCACTCATCAAACTCACTCCCCTCCAGCTTCTCCCCAATACTCGTCAATATATGCCTCAGATCCGCCACGGCGACGAATCCCGTGCCTTCCTTGTCGAGCACCTTGAATGCATCCCTGAGCTGGCGATCGAACGGCTCCGTCTTCAGGTGTTTCGCCATTAGATCGAGAAACCTGTTGAAATCGAACGGAGCGGTGAGGCTTTCGGAGGCGGTTATGGATTTCAGCTGGGCTTGGGTCGGGTTTCCCCCGAGTGATCTCATGAGGATCCCGAGCTCGGTTGGTGCGATTTTTCCGTCGCCGTTTGTGTCGAAGAGCGTGAAGGCTTCCTTCATCGATGAGACTTGATCGTCGCTGAGTCCCATTTTTTTTATTTTTTGCGATTTTCCGGGTTTTCGGGTTGGATTCCGGGTCGGGATTTCTCGTTGCTTTTTTTTCTTTCTGTACAGCGAAATTGAGATCGGAGTGGGTGTGTGTGTGGTGGCTTTTTCAGCTTTTAAAACGAAACGAGCGTCTATACGGGATATTTAGAGCTAAGGCCCAATTAAGTCTGGCCCAATTAAGTCTGGCTCAATTAAGTCTGGCCCAATTAAGTTTGGCCCATTAATTACACCCACTAATCTATTATCTATAAAACTCAAGGAGTTAGGAAGATAACGGTATAGAGTGTATAGATTTTTCAACATCAAATCAAGATCTTAGCAAGCTTAAACATGAATCTAGCTAATCTTGAACTCGATTTGCATAGTCCTAGGCAGGCAGGGATAGACTTCGAAGTTCCAACCTTCAATAGTATATATTATTTTCGGTCCAAGTTTTCGTAAATGTTTCTTTAGCTTAGTGGTATTAATAATGAAGTTGGAATCTTAACATCCTGATTTGAAATCATGGTAATATCATCATCAGCCTATTTTTCAAATACCTTCTGGTTAGTCAGCACTGATACTGATCATGGGTGAACATAAACCACTTGTATTATATTCCTTGGTGATGTTTATGTTGACGGCCATTTTATATGTTAATGAATAAAATTAGATGTTTAGCAAAGTTAAATATGTATGTAAAATTGATTTTGTTGTTGATTTCATCATCTTGTTTCTTATTTTCTATTGAACAACCCCATATGAAAGCTGAATTTTGTAAAATCAAAGAAATTTGATTCGGTTATAAAAAATGATTTTACAATTTCTAAATGTGTCGGTTCGCCTTTTCACCAAATAAATCGTCTAACATATATTGAACTGGAAATGTTGAAATCTATTGGAAAATCAGTTGCTTAATTACACTATAGAACAAATGATTAAGTTTGAGAAAGTGGGGGAAAAAAAGAATAAACATGACCTAATATTTCTTTAAACCACAGCCTGTAGAGTCGTAATCAAAATGACATAGGAATTATAAAAAGTTTGTATTTGTCCCACATAGTTGGATCTATGGGGCACAAAGACAATAGGTTAAATGCATTGGTCACCATCAGTGCATATAGCATATGATATCATCATGTGATTTAAAAGGCACCTTCCTCCACTTGAATTATACTCACATGTTTGAGTTCTATGCTTTTATCTTTCTTTAGTGTACTTTGAAATGTGATTCACTTGAATTTTATGCATTATCTTTGGCAATCTCCACTATCACTAGATGGAAAAGGTATCCAGCACTACTTATCAACGATCAATGAGACACATTATCTATTATATTTAACTGAGAAGAGATTATTCAAAGTACTTTAAAGTATCATTTTACTGCACACTAACTCAATCACAAACAAATATACTAAAAGGGAAAACATGCCAATTTCATTAAACTAACAAAGTGATTTTTGGTTTTAGTTAGGTAATCTTACAATAACAAGTCAATTCAACTCATTATGGTTAGCATAATAGCATTAGTGTTGGAGAATATTATACCAGCCAAATGAAATATTCCAAACTTGGTTGCTTCAACAAGCAAAAATAACAGTGCATAACTCGCTTTGGGCTAAACATAGACTAGTTAGTAGTTAGTCTAAATCTCGTTATAAACCAACTCTAAAACTTACATACGTCCTTGCCTGGAATAGTCTCAACAACACAACCCTATCTTTAGAAGGGGGGATAACAAAACACAATCATCTTTTCAAAAATTATCTTTCACCCTCCACACATTACACAGTTTCTAAATCTCACCCTTATAAATAGTTATTAAGATAATACTACTCTATATGTCTTATTTAGCTATTCATAGACACATTTTCTATGTTCGTTTTTAGATTCTATTGTTATCTATACAATAAAAAATAAGTAAAGAGTTAATTGTGGATGTACTTGATTCAATTCAATACTATTGGGGCTAAATCCGGAATAATAACCAAAATACATGGGCCATATCCAAATCTCCACCCAATAAAAAGACGAAACCAGACTTCTTTTCCTTGTCGTCAAAGTCTTCTATAAAAAGTAACATCATTAGGCTTAAACACAAAACAACACGAAGATCCCAAGAAACTAGAGAAAGAAGACAAAGACAAAGACGAAGAAGAAATGAAGTTGGTTTGGTCTCCGGAGACTGCATCTAAGGCTTACTTAGCCACCGTTAAATCGGTACGTCTTATATACAATTCACAAGGATCGTGTCTGAAAGATTCATGTCTTTCTTGAATTCTTGATTCGCTCTTTTAACAATTTCTTACGTTTCTGTTTTGTTTCTTTCTCTTGTCTTCAGTGCGAGAATCTCGAAACACCTGACGCGGCGGAGCTTATATCAGCGATGGCGGCTGGATGGAACGCAAAGCTAATCGTCGAGACATGGTCATACGGAGACGCAATAGCCTCAAGTATCGGCTTAAACGTCGCGAGCCAACACGCAAACGCGAAACACATATGCATCGTACAAAACGCAAGATCAGAATCAGCTTATCTCCAAGCCATCCAAGAATCTTCATCTCCTTTGAACTTACCGGAGACGATGATCGCTGAAGAGCCCGAGAAGGCGATGAAGGAGATACAAGGGATCGATTTCTTGGTCGTGGACTGGCGTAACAAGGAGTTTGCAGCGGGTGCGTTGAGGAACGCTGCGTTTGGAAGCAGAGGAGCGGTTGTGGTTTGTAGGAACGGGTATTCGAGAGGCTCTTCGGGTTTTAGCTGGAGAAGGGCTTTAAGAGAGAGGGAAGTTGTAAGAACGGTGACTCTTCCGGTCACCGGAGGTATAGAGATTGCTCATGTGGCGGCAAGGAACTCAGGGAAGAGTGAGAAGAGTAAGAGAAGATGGATCACACATATTGATCAGAGGTCAGGGGAAGAACATGTGTTTAGTATTTAGAAAGTAAATATTAAGACAAAGTTGTAAGAAGTGTGTTATTTGGATTCTTGTATATCACTTTGTACATAAGACTCCGTAGATGCTATTGTATTATATCATACTTGTCTTAGATCTCAGCAACAACCAATGATATATGAAAAAAAAAATCTTACATTGGTTGAAAGATTGAACAAGACTGTAAAATCTTTGTTTATATCTCATAAATTTCACTCTCTCTTGTAATGACTACGAATATCCTAATTGAAAAAGCGAAACAAAAGCGTAGAAAATGTTTAAGAAATCATTACAGAAATCAATATTTTACTCAACCCTAAAGGTTTATAAAATGTGGTTCAAACATCTCCTATTAGTACATGTTACATAAAAAACAATGCTGAATTAGATGCAAATGGTTGATTACTTCTTTTCTTTTTTTTTTTTGGAGAAAACAAATGGTTGATTACTTCTTTTCTTTTTTTTTTTTTGGAGAAAACAAATGGTTGATTACTTTCAATTTTCATGTCTTTTATTGGCACATCTCCTTGTCTGGAAGAAAGAACCATGTTGCTTACAAGGCGAAAGGGGATTTGCTTGGTTTCTACTTTCTTTCACAATGGTCTTCTTGTGTTAGAGATAAGGTATCATGTGATGAAGTAAACCAAAGGCAGAAGCATCAGAAACATACAAGGAGGAGAGTGGATAGATAATTCCACTAGTGCGTTTTCATGTGAATAACCTTGAAACTAGTCAAAAAAAGTGATCCGACCCCCATTGGGGTCAAAAGAGCATTTATTAAGAACCGACCATTGAATGATAATCTACATTGGGCCTAAGTGTTCCTTGATATTTTGCTTGAGCCCATTTTAGAACATTTGGAGACTACTGAGATTTTAACTTATATAATTAGACATTTTTTCGTTTTTCTAATTTTTTTTTTTTTTGCTAATAGTTAATTTTTTATTTAAAACTGATTCTTAATTTTTTTAATCAAAAACTAAAAAAACCTTAACCGAAACTAAGAATCTCACTTAAAAAGTCCCACTAGAAACGTGATCAAAACGCTAATTTCAAAGGACCCGGTCACGATTTACAGAATTCAAATTCCAAACCGTCGGTTAAGGTGGGTCAACACGGTTTAACTTTATCCTTCACCAGCCACCCGCGGTTTTCAAGCTAATTAGTTTTGATTTAGTTACGGTGGTGGTGGGGAGATAAAAATAAAAAATAAAATAAAAAAAATAAAAAAATAGAAAAAAGGGAGCTTGTCTACATCGGTCTTCGTCTCGTCATTTGTCGTTCGCGATCTTCAATCTCTCTCTCTCTCTCTCTCTCTCTCTCTCTCTCTCTCTCTCTCTCTCTCTCTCTCTCTCTCTCTTTGTCTCTGGTCAATCTTTTTGTTCGATTCGTCGATCGGAGATTTTGACCGGAGATTTCAGTTTGTAGATCGCAGCTATGTCGTACTCCGATTCCGATTCGTCCTCTCAGGCTGCCGATTACAAGAATTTCCGGCAGATTACACGCGAACGTGAGTTCTCTCTTTCTATTTTATTAGATTGAATATGTATTGACTCTCGTTGATTCGGAATTGACTTGTTGAATCTATTTCTGGTTACGTGGAGAATCCATTTTAGTCGTATCATTTCGTTTAGATTTATTTCGGTTTTATAATTGTTTTTTTTGGTCTGAAGAGAAAACGTGAGTTCAATTGGCTAAGACTTGTAGAGGAATTGAACATTGGGAAGGCTGTTGCTAGTGGTCAAATGTTTAGGATTCAGATTTAAGATTAGGGTTTATGAATCGGTAGTAGAGTGGTGGTGGATCTGTGAGTTGTAACAAATTGTGTGGATCTATTTAGAATTGACCGTTATGGTTGTTTGACGAGGCTAGTGGCTAGGGATACAAATGCTGATACAGTTTACCAAATCATGCTTATTATATTCGGACACTTCAAAAAGGAAACTTTTGTATGTCTGTGATAATGACGATGAAATGATTGATTATGTTATGGTGTTATAATCCTAAGCTTTGAGAAGAGGGTTGTGGATTTTGATTGTAGGCACATTATAGAGTTATAGGCAGTGTAGTTTAAGTTATGCATCTTTGGGTCTGTATTCCATCAGGGTTTGGTTACTTGTTTGCTCTTAAGGCTCTGTAGCTTTCTTCCATGCTTTTCTGAGGCTTTATCTGATTTTTTGCGTTTTGTTATTTCCCAGGACTATTGTATGAGATGCTTAGATCTGCGAAGACTGGGAGCTCTAAATCCACATGGAAGGTATGTTTACGTGGACTTGGCAGATAGTGTTAGGCTTTGAGGCTCATTGCTATTTTTTCTGCTAAGTTTCTATTTTTTCGCATATTAGGTACTAATCATGGACAAACTCACTGTCAAGATAATGTCATACGCCTGCAAAATGGCTGATATCACACAAGAAGGAGTTTCATGTGAGAATGAAGTATTTTTGTAAAAATTCTAGTTCGATATGATACTTTATTTGGAAATAAATTAATTGGTATCATTTCTCTGTAGTGGTTGAAGACATTTTTAGACGGAGGCAACCTCTACCTTCAATGGATGCCATTTACTTCATCCAGCCAACTAAAGAGAAGTAATTTTTCTTTTATGTCCTGTTGCTGCGTTCCAAAATGTTATATTCACTATTTCCTCTTAATATTTTTTTTTTTTATGGTGTTTCATCAGCGTCATCATGTTCTTGTCAGACATGTCTGGGAAATCACCATTGTACAAGAAGTAAGGAAATGATTCCCTCTTAGTTTTCAGATCTATCATGAAGACAATTTCTTTAAAACACTGATTTTTTTTTCTTTGTTACTCTGCATTTGTGAAGGGCATTTGTTTTCTTCAGCTCACCGGTTTCCAAGGAGCTGGTTGGTCACATAAAGAAAGATTCGAGTGTATTACCTCGGATTGGAGCTTTAAGAGAGGTGTCTATTGCAGAAAATTCACACTTTCTAGTGTATACTGATTGTTTATATAGGTATGATAGTATCCATATGGATAACTTATTATTTGATTTTCATTTTGCAGATGAACTTGGAGTTTTTTGCCATCGATAGCCAGGTATGATCGTTCCAAATCTCTTGTCTTCATGCATTTTATCCGAGTTTATATTGTTCTCCATTATATGGTCTGAAACGCAGTACAACTTGTGGTATCATGTTTTTTGTATGTTTAATGTGAAAGAGGGTTGCATATGACATTAACAACAATTGTTACAGGGTTTCATCACCGATCATGAGAGAGCTCTAGAGGATCTTTTCGGTGATGAAGAAACTTCTCGAAAAGGCGATGCGTGCTTAAATGTCATGGCTTCTCGAATTGCCACAGTCTTCGCTTCACTACGGGTACCTCTCATCATTCTCACGATTAATGACTATTATCAGGGTATGACTCTTCTGAATCATTTTGGATTTTACAGGAATTTCCTACAGTACGATACCGGGCTGCAAAGTCACTTGACGCATCGACAATGACAACTATGCGCGATTTAATTCCCACGAAGCTAGCAGCTGGAATCTGGAATTGTCTGGCAAAACACAAACAGTCGATTGAAAATTTCCCACAGACTGAAACGTGTGAGCTGCTCATCCTCGACAGATCCATAGATCAGGTTTAGAACTGTTTTCGCAATTTGATGGGTCTTTCATTTGTTATTTTAGTAGTCAAGAGTGCATTCATCTACTTATGGTGTTCATACTTCCTCCTCTACATGTGTTATATGATTAGCATCATTTGCTTGTTTTAAATGTCTAGATTGCCCCTATTATACATGAGTGGACTTATGATGCTATGTGCCATGATTTACTGAACATGGACGGCAACAAATATGTACACGTGGTAAGTTCAACTCTTTGCTGTATAAGTTATTGCCATTTTGGCGGCTCCCTTCCTGGATACTCCATGTGATGTTCTTTTAGCTTTCAGATTCCAAGCAAGTCAGGTGGACAACCAGAGAAGAAAGATGTGCTCTTGGAGGAGCATGATCCTATTTGGCTAGAGCTTCGACATGCACATATAGCAGATGTGAGTGTTATACCTGGGTATATTTCTCGTCGATAATGAAAAAAAAAGTGAATCCTTTTGACTTGCCTTTTCCACAGGCTAGTGAAAGATTGCATGACAAGATGACCAATTTCTTATCGAAAAACAAAGCTGCTCAGCTTCAGCATGGTAAGAGGTGGGTATTACTTTTACTTTTGCAGTAAACGTAACAGTAGAGCGTATTACTTTGATGGAACCAGATTTACCGTATGTCTTCTTGTTTTTCAGTTTGATCATACTCTTAACTCAGCGTTAATCTACGTAGAATACTTTATTTGATAGAGAAGTACTCTCTTTGTTCTCTGTTTTTAATAATTATCTTTGTCTCTTATTTTTAGAGATGGAGGTGAGCTTTCCACGAGGGATTTGCAGAAGATGGTTCAAGCATTACCACAATACAGTGAACAAATTGACAAACTGTCACTCCATGTAGAGGTAGTTCCTCTTTTATGAACAACGCTCCCTTGTCTTTTCTTGTTGCATCCACCTCCACTTCAAATGTTATATGCCTCTAGTTTGGATTCTGCAACTTTTTGAACGTTCAACTTTATTGTATTTGAAGAGCTATCTGCAGATGTCCAAATTTTGTCGCTTCTTTGGCTTTTCATTTTTTTTTCTCTGAGCGTCGAATTCATGTAACTTTTGTTATCTTTGCAGATTGCTAGAAAAATCAACGACCTTATCAGAGAGCAGGGACTTCGGGAGCTGGGACAACTTGAACAAGACCTTGTCTTCGGTGATGCTGGAATGAAGGATGTGATTAAATATTTGAGTACTCAAGAGGTTCCACATCTATTAATAGTGGTTTTTTTACTGCAATTTGATGAGATATTGAGCTGTTTGACCTGTATATATTTTCGAACTCATGTACAGGAGGCAAGTCGTGAAGGGAAGTTACGCCTGCTGATGATCCTCGCAACGATTTACCCTGAAAAGTTTGAAGGAGAAAAAGGTCAAAATCTAATGAAGGTAACTTGGGGATTAATGTTTCTTGAATCTTTGTTTGGTTCTGTCCACCCCCATCTAAGACTTTATTGTTTTTTTGTTTCTAGCTGGCGAAACTCTCATCTGACGACATGAGCGCTGTGAATAATATGAGATTGCTTGGTTCAGCCGTCGATGCTAAAAAGAATACTCCGGGAGGTTTCACTTTGAAGTTTGATCTTCACAAGGTAACATCTTCTCTCCGAATGTTCCATTAATGTATGGGAAGCTTTTTAACATTCTTTGTTAATGGCTGCAGAAGAAACGAGCTGTCAGGAAAGAGCGCCAAGAGGAAGCAGCATGGCAGCTATCTCGTTTTTACCCCATGATTGAGGTTTGCTTTGTTAACTTTTCCCTCGGACTTTGTGCAGAGCATTACTCAAGATTTTTAGCATCATAAAAGTTTCATGATTGGAATTTTGCAGGAACTCATCGAGAAGCTTAGCAAAGGAGAATTGCCAAAAGAGGATTTCCCATGTATGAACGACCCAAGCCCTAGTTTCCACGGATCAACTTCGCTTTCTTCATCAGCAAGTAGTAATCAAGGTCAAGCTGCTGCCCAGTCCATGAGATCAAGACGCACACCAACATGGGCTAAACCTCGAGGCTCAGATGATGGATACTCAAGGTAAAACCCAACTTCTTAGCTTCGTTGCAGGACTTTGTAATAAGTTAGTCTTTCTCGAACTTCTTTGAAGGAGTTTGTGTTAGCTAAATAAATGAAACCTAAAACTCAGCTAAGCAAAAGAAATCTAAAACACAGTTAAACTACGTCCTCTCATTGTTCATTAGCAGAATCCACTTCTTGGCCAGATTATTTCAGAAAGCGAAAAATAAACTTCTCATCTTATACTGTTTTTCCTATCTTGCAGTGATTCGGTGTTAAGACATGCGTCCAGCGATTTCAGAAAGATGGGACAGCGAATATTTGTGTTTATTGTTGGTGGAGCGACAAGATCAGAGGTAAGAGACTAAAGAAAAAAACGATCTTAATATTAGAAACTATAATCAAACCATAGAATCAGGATGCATGATGATCTCTTCTTACTGAGCTATTTGTTTGTTTTTTCAGTTAAAAGTATGCCACAAACTAACCACGAAACTCAAAAGAGAAATAATCCTCGGTTCCACGAGCATCGATGATCCTCCACAGTTCATAACGGTAAGCCATTACACGCATACTTCACATTCGGAGATTTGGTTAAACTATGAATCACCTCTTAACTGATCTAATTTCTCTTGTTTCCCACAGAAACTGAAGCTCCTGTCTGCAAGCGAGTTATCTATAGACGATCTCCAAATATGAGAATCCAGATCTCAAATCAAAATCCGTGTCTATTGCTCTTTGATATCTCCCATTCTAATTTGTAACCAAGTTAAAGACATGTAAAAGGGGTGAAAAATAAATAATCAGATTTTGAGATCATGACTGTATGTGTACCCTTTTATTGTTTGTCATCTAAAGATGTAAAGCAACTCATAAAGTTGACTTCTATATCTTTGGCTATTGTCTTGTTAAATTTGATTGTGTAAATTACTCTAAATTGTTTGTTTTGCTTTCTCAGTCTTCTTTTCTGATCATTTCCCAAAAATGCAAAGACAGAGCTAAGATCATCTAAGACTAACAACAAGAAGACGTTTAGTATTTTGCTTTCGATTTAATGTAGTCTCTGGCGAACTATTCTTCAGCTTTCCTCTTCTTTGTTGCTGAGACCAAACTCTTTGACATACGAGATATCACTATTCTGCTCTGTGTTACTGACACCAGAAGTCATATAATTAGTTTTAGTTGGAACTAGTTCATAGTAATAACAGTACTTATTCTTCATATTCCCTTTCTCTAAGTCTAATCTGCATATTTTCATATACTCACTCAGAATCATGACATCTTTCGCTGTCATTACCTTCTCTACGAACATAAAATATGTTCTAAAGCTTTAGGTATCAACTAGCGTGGTGTTAGAGTACAAAACAATACCATCAAGGTTGCCTTAACAATTTTACCATCAGTTCTTCAAATTTCGTTTGGATTTCAATATTATTTGCTAGTAAAATTTAATCATTAGACTACTACATACATATATATATATATATACAACCATCATATTGCTAAGCAATTGTAGTAATATTAAATTGTGCAAATTGCTAAGGATACAAACATGCAAGTCTCTTAACGAATCAAAACTCATATGATGTGTGCTGACTAAAGGATTAATGATGACAAAAAAATGTATTTACCTATATAATCGTGGTTCATCATTTCTTTTTAAATAAAAGAAACCTAGATCAAATTATTCCTTCACATGCTCGGTCATCTAGGGTTACTCAAATTAACCTATTCAATGCATGATTGGAGACATACCTTCTCTTTTATCATTATGCTTTGATACACATTTTAATTTTTCATTTCGATCGTATCATGAGGAATAATGACCGCACTTTCCAAATAATATATTTTAACATTTAGTGTATCAAAGCATAATGATACGATCTCGGATTCGATACAGTTAAAGTTTTGTTTTGACATTAGCTATACCAAGTTTTAATTTTCTAGAGGCAATCAACCATACATCTTTAACATAAATGACTAAATTGAGCTTGCTTCATGGATATATCGGCTCATGAAACTAAGGTATTTTCCAGTACATTTTACGTTACAAGTTGTAACTAAAACACATGGGTTGGGTGGGTTATTCAGACCTAGTGAGTCAGTGACATACTGACATTTATGTTTAGCAGACTAGCACTGCACAGAATCATTGTCTTACATACCCGATTTCAACTTTATAAAGGCGACAAAATCTGATAGCTAAAAATTAAAATGGTAGATTATATGTATTTGTTTGACTTTGTTGTATATATTTTATGATCGACGACTATGAGAAAACCAACTATGGATGGCTAACCAACCAATAACATAACTGTAATCAACTTCAAAATCGTAACGACAAAAAACAAAATACAGATTTCATATAAATACCGTTTGACAGGAAAATCTTCTGATGTAAAAAAAAAGACAAGAAAATCTTCTAAGCTTTATATTTACAAAGACTGGTGATTGCTTCTTTTTTTTCAGTTGAAGTTCAAAATACTTGATCCTTATATATAATTTTATGTGTGATATATTGACCATTTAACGAGATAGAACCACAAGTGAAACATATCCCAGTTACTCAACAAAAAATATATATTATGCATGAATAATACAAATATCACAGACAAACAAAAAGATAACAACGATCGATCTTACATGAAAATAGAAGTAGGTACTTTGATGTTCGAAATAAATTAACATACTGGCTAAGTCAAGGGAATAAGCTTAACTACATACATGTAGGTTCTCCTTTGAACGGTAAAAGAACAAAGGTCAGCTACTAATTTTTTCTCACTTTTTAATTCGAATTAGTTGTTAGAGTCAGCTGTCAGACAAGTTGATTCTCGTACCAATTTATAATTAATATCGAGATAGTGTAAAATAGAAGCAAACATTCGGGTAGTGTTTAGCATAAGTGTTTGCCCTAATATTTATGGAGAAAATACTCCATAAATACAAATGACGTCACTCGTGGGAGAACTATTACGTCATAAACTACGGAGCTTTATCAACTGAGACGCCAAGATTCCGGTCAAATAAGAAACAGTTGAACCGCACGTGCCAGACGACACATAGAAAATAATTCAGAACTTTTTTATGTTTATTGGGTGGAGACACTATCTGCTGTGTTTCCGGCAACGTGTCCTCATAAACTATGCTGTAAATGGAGTACTAATGGCACTGTTCATTACTGAAAAATCAAAGCTGCAACCGCACACGAACGTAATGATCTTCGAGCCACTGCTCTTGGAGCGTGTTTGCTCACCAATAGCGCAGTATATACTCAGTTCAGTTATACATAAAAATTCCATATGCAATAATATACAAATGTCCTTTTTAAGAAAAATATATATATAAACGGCTATCCACATTTGTTTAAACGGAAAAGGTGGTTTTTCCCACTGTTTTAGGATTTGTTACGCAATGCTAACCTTATACTATACGTTAACAAAATACCCAATACAATTTCTAAGAAGAATGTGCATTAAGTATTTGTTTCTTGAAAGTAATTTCATTGGCACAAAGAGTCTAATGTAAAAAATACATGTAAGACGTTTTTGTATTTTAACTTTATTTTGTTAAAGGGGGTATATAACTTTAGCTTTGTATAATGCGCTTATTATAAAATAATAATATATTGTCCTATTTGTGAAGCATTTAACTTATTTCTTCGTGTTCTTTACTCCTTTAGCTTTAAGAAAAAACTTTTAACGCAAAAAGAAAAACAATAGAAATACAATATGTACACATTCATATAATCTCAAGAGAGATTTGGTGAGAAGTCAGCATTGCCGACATGAAAATCTGCCTCACCACCAAAATGGTGAAAATACCAAGCCAATAATTACGATAATTAATTTCTGCTTAAGTTGTAATTAATTACATGAGTACATAATTACAACAACTCTTTTTCTTTCACGACATGATTACAATAACTTTAACTATGTATAGTACTAGTTGCATACTCCCCGTGCAAGCGCGGGGCTGGGATCATTGTGTTTGCAATATTATTTCGATTGTTGGTTTAGTGGATTCTTCTAATAACACCAAATAATAATGAAATTGAAAGAATGTAGTAAGAATGTAAAGTGAAAATATTGTATATATAATGTGTTAGATATTATTTATATGTGAAGTAAGGTTTATAGGAATAGTATAGTTATTTATATATAATGCTATAATATAGTTTTTAGTGTGTAAAAGTAGGTGTCTATTTTTTTATTTTTTTTGCTGTAAATAGTTTTTAGTATCAGAGCCGGCCCTATAAATGTGAAGACTAGAAGCTAAAATTAGAAAAAAGACCGAAAATAAATATAAGAAGTTATGGATTTCGAACCCAGCACCTCTTCCTACTGCCATTATTCTCAAAGCCACTAGGCTAAAGTTATATTTAGTAATTATAAGTGGCCGCTAAAATATTTCTTATTGTGGCGGTCGGAAGCCCATGCTTCATTTGCTTGTGCCCAGGGCCGCCACTGATTAGTATATATATCCTTTTAAAAGAATAAAAAAAGCTTATGTTCCCTTAGAAATTATTTTAGTTGAAAGTAGACTTACTCGGTGGAGCTAGTGCATATATCTTCCAATTTTCTTTGAAATGTACATGCAGAGAGGTGAGAGTCAATACATTTGAATTCTATGTTATGTTTTTGTTAATTTTCTACGTTTAAGTTTTGAACTTCTAGAGATTAGTTGTTCGATGAGGTAGTTGAGGTGAATCTAATGCCTGCTATAAAGTTCAAAGTTATATACTACAAGAACAAAAGTAGTATACTTTACTATTTGTGGGGTATATATATAATTATTGATTTCTACTTTTTGGGTTCCTTGTTAAATAATTCAAGTTAAAACCTGTTTTCCCTTCAATCAGTAGCTTATAGATTCAACTTTTAAATTGATGAATTAATAAGCATTAATATGAAAATACTTATTAACTATAAAAGTACTTTTGAATGTAGTAAATAGATACATACATATGTAAAGTATGCATGCATGTGTGTGTAAAAAAAGAGGTACTTGACTTATCTGTTTGTCTATAGCTTAAATGGTAAAATAGCATCTAAATAATTGCATTTCTCTTTACTATTTCTAAAATAATTGTTTGTTTTTCACTGATTTCCCTGTTTTTACTTAATTTGTGTAATTTCACATTAGCTGTCCGGTCAGTCCATTTATGAAATCTTGCCACTAGATTTCAAATAATGGTACTATTGATAAAGTTATGATTTACAAGAATATAAATCATGGGTTACAGATGTTTCCTTTCAAAAAATACCCCACAAAGTACAAACCATTGGCTCGTATAATTAAAGAGGAAATATATCTACCTTTTTAACTATTCATGGCTGTAGAAATAATGGGTGATTATATAACAAGACTGGTAATAAGTAGCTTCATCCTTAGACATCAAATAGGGTTAGTAATATCATCAAATATTTATGAGTTAAGGGTGTAGGGTTCTTGTCCAAAAAAAGGGTGTAGAGTTTAAGAAGAGTTCTTCGATATTTGTAATTTGACAAAATTTTCTTTTCACTGGTACAGAATGAACTTGTATACAACAGCATTTAAAATTTTAAACTATGATTTCGATGCAGTAACCTCACACTGAAAATATTAGAAAATAGATTGATAGCTACTTAGATATATATAGTTGCATAAGTCTAATCATACTCACGGTTGAAATGAAACCGATACCCATAAGCTTTTGTTCTTCAGCTACTCTAGATGGCAAAGTATGAAACATTGCCATCAACAAACGTTATCATGAAGAAAGAACATTAAACTTTCAAAAGTTTTAAGTTATTTTCTCGAAAAGTAAAGACATACTTGTTTTAAGTCATGATTAAGAATATGAATTTCGATGAAAAAGCGAGAGGGATCATTACACTTTGTACCAGCACAAGAAGAAGCCAAAGCTGTCATTTATTAGAGTTTTTAACTTCTAACAGATACATCCATCATCCATGGTTATGACAAGGAATGTTTCACGAATGCTTCATGGACCATAAAAGAGTACTATCACCTATCTATGGCTTACACAAAATGATGAAACTTTGTATGGATCGTACGACTAGAACTTTGCAAATTTGAAAAAAAAAACGAAATATTATGGTTATTATATATAGGCTAAAAGAAATACAAATACTCAAATCACATATGGATGATATGCCATCTCTTTCTCAACTTCTAAAGGAACCAAGTACAAATTGAATATCAATGATATATAATAAGGGGTAATAGTAATGAAAGAAAAGAATCCAAATAATCCTACAAAATGTCAAAACTCACACAGAGGATGTATCAACAAGAACATCATTAAGCAAATTATCATCACCATTAGCCATAGCAAGCAGCTCTGCATCCCTATCCTCCTCATTAGAGAAATCTCTTCTCTCGAATTTCGAATTAGCCGATATAAAGATCAGCTTCTGAGCTCTATCTATAGCTGTATGTGACCGTCCATGTGAATTCACCCATTTCAAAAGAGATGAATTGCATTTGAACCCACAAGTAGTTGCATGGAGGAATATGAGCCTCACAGCAACTTTCCCTAGTGACCTAAACTCACTAAGATACGTCTCCCAAACAAGCCTACTGCTTTGAGGATTCACTATCTTCATCTTACCAGAGACCGGGTCATGCTCTTTCATCTGAACTGCCCTTGCATACATAGGATCAAGCCCTTCCGTTCTCCATTTCATAAGCTCCATCAACGCAATGTGTGCCTCGTCTCTAGAAACAAGTCTTGTTATCAACTTATCCACATCTTTCTCTTGCTCTGGTGACAAACACTTGAAGGGAGGAAGATACTTCCCGGTGCTATCTCTTATCAAGTAAAGAGGGTCTAATATGAAAGCAGCAGCCCAAGCTGGATGATAACACTTATTGAATCTTCTCTCAACAATCTTCTCAACAAGTCCTTCCCCTACATTAAACTTAGAATCCCAATCTTTAATCTTAGCTCTTACCTCGTCCCATAGAGGGAGACACTGCCCAACAAGCAGCTTCTCTTCCTCTATCCTCCGAGCCATCTCTTTAACAAGCTTGATCAAAGTGTGAACCGCCTCTACCTCGTTCCAAAACCCTTGGTCTCCAACCATCTCTCTAACCTCCCTAGCCCCATGATCCTCTATCAAAACAGCTTTACAAGCATCATCATGCATCACCATCTGAATAGCTCTAGCGGAACACAACACATCCTCAAGTAGATTAAACAATGACTCACTACTACTACAATGTAAAGGCAACCTAAGCATTATCGCTTCGCCGTGTTCTTGCAACTGATACTTACAATGTGCGTTACGTATCTGCGCCGTGTTGTTGATGAACTTAGCTAACCTCACACAGTTTAGCGACACGGATTTAAACAAAGGCAGCTCTTTCACAAAGTCTTTGATAAGACTGTTAAGCCCTTGGAACTGACAAGACAAGTTAACCATCCACTGATGCTGTCTCTCAAGACTCCTCAAAGCTTTGGTCTTAAACTTATCAGAAACTATCCCAACACACCTCTGAGGTGAATTTCCACAAATACCCTTCACAGTCTCCAACAAAACCTCCTCCGCGTAGTTAGACGGCACAACTCCGTTCACCGGAACCGCCTTTCTATACACACTCGTCCCGTTTGGTAAATTCACGATCAGATTCACTAGTCCTTCCCCTGATGAATCCCAGCCGTCAGATGAGATTTGGAGGAACATAGCGTCACGGATTCTTGACTCAGACTCTGCTTTAGCTTCCTCGTACTTCACGTCGAGCCTCGTCGTGGCGAAGTCTCTCTTGGAGATGATCGGTAACCCGACTTGGGTCAAAAAAGCACGAAACTTCGGATGCTCCAGACCCGTTAAAGAAACAGAGCCGCAAGATTCGTAGACCCACTCGGAGAGAGAGTTTAAAGCCGTCTCTATCTCCGATCTCGTGAGAGACTGAGTGTGAGACGGTTTAGGACTCTTGAGCTTCTTCACACTGTCTTCAAGCATAGCCAAAGGACCCAAATCGTCTTTCCCGCCGGAGAGCATCAAATGCTGCGGCGGAGGAGGAGGAGGAGGAACAGAGTACTCAACGCAGAATCTCGAAGGATCCACGACGGTTATCGGCGTCACGTGGTAAGAAGGCTGCTGCTGAGGAGGAGGGTTGAGACGAGAAGGAACGGCTCCGCCGGAGGAGTTTCGTTTCCGGTTGTGATGAGAAGGAGAGGAAGAGGAAGAGGAAGGAGAAGGGCTGACGACGACGGCGGCGGCAGAGGAGGAGGAGGAGGTGAAGTTAGGACACGTGCCGCGTTTGAGATGCTCGGAGGCTGTGCGAGAAGGGTTAGAGGCGGAGAAAACGGCGTCGCATAAGGAGCAGCGGAGTTTCACGGCTTTAGGGAGGTTAGTGTCGGTGCTGCGTATTAGGATTGGTTCGAGATGAGTCCAGTACCACGCGCCTTTGCCTTTCACTGCTTTCGTTCTCACCGTCATTAAACCTTCGTATCTTTTGTTTAAAGCTTTTGCTGTTAACTCGTCGGTTGTTAACACGTCGATCGAAGTCTCCGGAGCCGTCGTGGGAGTGTTCGTCGTCGACATTGTGGAGTGGGAAAAAAAAAAAACGGAACTTTCGAGGTGGGTTTTTGAGAGGAAAGGAAGGTTTGTGTTTTGTTTTCTTGTTTCTGTGTCTTTAAAAAGGGGTTTAAGCGGGAGATATTGTTGCCTCGTAAAAAACGTGTGACATTTTTCTTAACCGGGGAAATTCGACGGAAGACGGTTTATTTCTTCATACCGGCGAGTAGTACTACAAGACATTTGTCTAGTTTCCTTCTGATGGCTTTTTCTTTTGTTAAATGTGTCTGATGAGAGATTTTGGAAGAAAGAGACAGCGGAGAGAAGAAGAAGAAGAAGAGAGTTCAGAGTTTCAGACAAGTGATGAGGGAAAGTTATGCGCGTGGAGCGGAGGTTTTTTTTTATTTTTTGAAAGGAACAAGGTGAAAGCAGAGCCCCCACGTCGTACGAGAACCCAAGCGTTACATTGGTTCATACACTCTCTCACTTCCCCATCATTGGACCGTTTTGTTCACGCGCTTCTATGTGGTTTTCGGACATTTTTTCACCTTTTATTGTCCCTTTACTTTCTTTTTTGTACTGGAACTATTTGGGACCTTAATTTAATGCATTTTTTTAGATTTTCGTAATCTATACATGTTTTTTTATAATATTTCTAAATTACGTTATTAGATTTTACCACAGAAGCTAAGCTATAAATTTACATAAAGGTTTTGTTGACAAAAGAAGGAACTGTTTTAGAAAGGTGAATTCGGTTTTACAGAGTTTAGTTACTCATGCAAATTTACAGGACTTTTGAGTCTTTCTTTGTTTTAATATTCGTTACTAAATTAATACTGGTGAGTGGGATTTTCCATTTGTGTCTTCTTGTCTACGTGGGATGTGTTCAGATTTTGGACATGTAAAAAGGGTATAGTGGGGATTTAATTTTGTTTGTAGGTAGACAATGTGAAAGACATTAAAGGGGAGAGAGTTTTTCTTTTGTGTTGACCATTTTGTTCTTGACTCGAAAGGACATTTCTTGGTAAATGATTTTTCATTTCATTACCAACGATGTTGGTTCCTACTTCTTGCCATTCTCTAAAACATTTTTTATTTGTTGAAATTTACCATAGTTGTTGCTTGGTTTTCTTTTTCATTGATATTGTGTGAGAATTTCATGAATGTCACGGCCGTCGCTAGCCGTTTGAAATTTCAACTCATGTGTAACAACACCCACTACGTACTCTTCACAATATTCACATTTTCTTTTTCATTTTTGCAAACAGAACACAAATAACATAAGCACACACAAAAATATCATTGCGGTTATTTAATCTTTAAACCAATGTTCATTAAAATCACACTCGTGGTGTGTCATCGTTCACTATGCATTCCTACTTTTTTTTGGCATCTTGTTTGTAAAGGATGGTAGAAACGTATACCAATACAATCACACTTCTTGTATCACATATGACAGATACAGAACAATACAAATAACAGTTCACAAACGAAGATAGCACAACATTTTTTGCGAAGAACATAGAATGTTACACGCATCACATTTAAAGGACACTTTGTTGATTTCAACTATGTAAACACACTTGATCACAAGTTTTTGTCACTATTTACATTGGACAAAAATAACCAATCAGATATAACTTGATTTTAACCTTCTCTCATCACTCAAATTATTCAATATACTGCGGCCCAAGCGGCATATTGTATTCACAATAAGCGATAGTATTTCGTAAAAAAAAAAACTCTAGTTATAACGCTAACATGTATTTGGAACAAAAAACATCGTCAGATACAAAATCAAAATGAAGATAACTAAAACAATAATTAAAGTAAAAGGTGGAGGTTAGTAGAAGTCATGTTTTAATTGGTCAATATATAATGTCGTATTAAACCACATGTCACAACTGTCTCCCACTTTCTAATGTATGCATGCTTATATATATGTAAATGATCCATGGATTCTAACTTATAAACATACATATACCATCAAACTAAAAGCATAATTCGATTTTGTTAGCAGATAATTTAGATCAGTCCAGTCTTAAAAGATGGATAGTACAATCTGTAAGAATGATCTTGTCTAGTACATACAACCACCCAAAATCCATGCATTATAACATACATCTATCTCTTTTCTCAAATAAATTTATCATGCTGTGAAACACTTGATCAAACACACACACTAAGCCTAGTTTAAAAGAATACTGAAGAAAATGTTTACTAGCAATAGTATAGTAGACTTAGATATATAATATATAATACCTTTTTACATTGTATGAGATATCTTAATTCGCTAGATGAATATTTCTCTGGATTGCAACTTTTAACTAACTGACTAACTTTTACCGTAAAAAGTAACTTCTGACAGAAATAAGAAATCTGGATCTTCGTTTTTCATGAAGTGACATATTCTTGAAACGAAGACTTAATCATCATAAATAAATATATTGGCATTAATTAGAGTATGCGATCAACGTAATTTGCTTGAATTACAAGATTGTATGAGAGTTTTCATACCTCAACCACTCCACTATATACTGTTTAGAACTGAAATAAATATACCAAAAAAAACTATATAATTAATTCTCCAAAAACTATATAATTGTCACTAAGAAATCAAGGACACCTTTCTATACTGATAGCGATAGTAAGGAATTATCAACTTAGTGAACTTGGATAGTTTGACTAGCCCTAGCCTTGCAAAGAAATCTATCCTAGATTATTAATTTGAAAACTGTTGAAAGTAAAGTTATGGTAACTGGTAAAAAAACATGAGATGAAGCTTGTTTTTGCTACTAACGAAAAAACAGCTGGCATTTTTATCACTCACATGATTTAAAGGTTTCTGGGCCCCATTTTTGTCTTCTTAAAAATTAGTTATACGACTCACAGGCAAACAAACTATTAAGATTTGTTTAGGCCGAGCTCTATAGGCCCATGGGCTTCTAAAAGCCTACTGATATACTAAACCGGCATGGACCGGAACGGTATTTCGATCGAGTAAAAGAAATCAGTTATGACCAAAATCAAACCGGAACATCGGGAAAAAACAGAACCGGAAGTCGCGTGCCCTTCTCTTGTTTGTTTCCGACCAGAATCTCGTAACCGAAGCCAAACTGATCTATATCGAAACTTCTTGTCTTAATCGAACTTTTAGTTGGAGAAGAACAAGAAACACATCGGGGGAATAGATCAGAGGCAGATGGGAGATATTTGGACATGGCTTATTTCCTTCTTCTTCCTCATCGCTCTTGTCGGAATCATCGTCTATCAGGTTTTAATTTCGATCCGAAATCTCAATTTTTAGTCAAGACTAAACCCAAAGTTAGAAGCTTTGTGCTTTGCCACATGATTATTATTGGTAAAGTTTAAACTTTTGGAATGTTATTAGTTGCATTGACTCGTCGTAATGTTAGTGTGTTTCTGAGTTTTAGACTATGTTCAGAGGAGTCACTGAGATTTGTTAAGCTAACAAACCGAATATTGCATTTTAAATAAGCTTTGATTAATTACACAATTTGTGTTTGAAAGAGAGAAAGACATGTTTCTAAAGGAAACTAACTCTTTTAATTTTTGCAGCTTGTTTGCTTAGCGGATCTTGAGTTTGATTACATCAACCCTTACGACTCTGCATCGAGGATAAACTCAGTGGTGTTACCAGAGTTCATTGTCCAAGGAGTTCTATGTGTATTCTATCTCATTACAGGACACTGGTTCATGGCACTCCTTTGCCTCCCTTATCTCTACTACAACTTCCAACTGTAAGTGAAGCCTCTCTCTCTTTTCACAACTTACAGTATCTCCAATCAATATTGTGATGATGTGACTTCATTTCTCTAATTTTGTTCAGCTACTCGAAGCGACAACACTTGGTAGATGTCACAGAGATATTCAATCTGCTTAATTGGGAAAAGAAGAAACGGCTTTTCAAACTTGCTTACATAATCCTTAACCTCTTTCTCACTATCTTCTGGTAATAAAGAAAACATCTCTTTGCTTAGCCCTTTCTTCATTATAGATCAAGTCAAAGCTAAAACACTTTCTGTCTGCAATTTTTTGTTGTAGGATGATCTATTCAGCGCTGGATGATCACGATGACTGATTGATCCATTAATCTTCTTCGGTGTCTTTTTCCATCTGATTAACACCGCGCTTAAAGAGACAGCGCTGTGCTCGTGGACATGAGTTAAATGGAAAGAAACAAAGTGTTTGTTGTTGATACCAGTTTGTAAGATTAGTGTATTTTTTTTTCTTTGTTTGTTTTACGATCAAAAAGTATTTTTTCTTTCTTTCTTAGAAACGTTTTTCAGACATGAAGTCGGAAAAGTTCAAAGTTTTGTTGTCTCATTAAACCAAAGTAAAAAAAAAAAACTAATTTAACCAAATACAATGGCACATGTAAACCAATCGGTTAAGGTAAACCAAATATGCATTTAGTTGATATTTAATAAACCCATTCATCTTCTCCAGCAATATTACCGAACCACCCAATCTGTGTTCGGCTCTAACACTTCTCGACGACCATGGCGGTCTCGTTTAATACAACACTTCACCAGTGTTCTCTGAGTCCGAGGTCTTGTAAAGTTTACATCTTTATGTCTCTGTTTCTACACACACAAACTTGCATCTGATTAATTTTTTGTAATGTTTTTTTTTTGCAGCTGTAGTATAAAGCTTTATTCTGGGTTGAAGCCTCAGTCTGCAAGTTTGTTCCTTTTCTTCTTTATTTGTGTGAAAGTTTTAATTTTTTAATCGAATTGGGGTTAGTGCTTATGGTAGGGAACTGATTATTTCGTAAAATTTTCAGGCTTTTTGACAAATGGGTATCAGAATTTGAATAAGGAATTCTATGGCAGAATCCACAAGAGTTTGGAATCCGGGTAATTCCACCTTCATCTATTTTGCAGAATTGATTCTAGACTTAACAAAATCTATGCTTGATTAGTGGTGAAAGTTTCTGTTAATGAGTTATAGACTGTGAAAGCTAAGACTTGTATAGTACATGAATAGTAGGTTTGTCTTGGAATGTTATGGTTCATTCTAGTTGCCTGAGTGGTGTGGTTTATGTGTTGTTGCAGGACTGGGAAAGCGAGTAGGTCAAGGGTAAAGATGATGCCAATAGGTACACCTAGAGTGCCTTACAGAAACAGAGAAGAAGGCACTTGGCAATGGGTTGATATATGGAATGCCCTTGTAAGTATATACGTTTCTTTATGACATGTGAGAAAACAAAAGTATGCTAAATTTGATTATTTTTGTTGCAGTATCGAGAGCGTGTAATCTTTATTGGACAAAACATAGATGAAGAGTTTAGCAACCAGATATTAGCAACTATGTTGTATCTTGATACTCTTGATGACTCAAGGAGGATTTATATGTACCTAAACGGACCAGGAGGGGATGTGAGTTTCTCTCTCTTTCATTCTTTGCTTAACACTTGTCTAAAGTTTTGAAGATTAATTTTGTATTGACAGCTTACTCCAAGTCTAGCTATCTATGATACAATGAAGAGCTTGAAGAGTCCGGTGGGGACACATTGTGTTGGGCTTGCATATAACCTTGCAGGTTTTCTTCTTGCTGCTGGAGAGAAGGTAATCAAATCATATCTATGCATCCTAGAAACCAAATGAAAACTTATAATGCTAGGACTCATTTGGAAGTTGACTTATTGTGTGTGTTATCATTGTTGTTTTATGTGGAAAGGGTCAACGGTTTGCGATGCCATTGTCAAGAATCGCCCTCACGTCACCAGCAGGTGCAGCTCGTGGTCAGGTAAAAATTAACTGAGCTTATATCTCTCGAGTTGTGGACTATTCATTATTTTGATTTACATGGTGAAAACTACACACAGGCTGATGATATACAAAATGAAGCAAAAGAGCTTTCAAGGATCAGGGATTACCTCTTCAACGAGCTAGCCAAGAATACAGGGCAGCCTGTTGAAAGGGTTAGTTTTATTGTTTTGACATATTAATAACCAAACAGTAAACTTGTGAGAGCATATGATGATGAAACAATGATGGTGCAGATATTCAAAGACTTGAGCAGGTTGAAAAGGTTTAACGCAGAAGAAGCAATGGAGTATGGACTTATCGATAAGATTGTTAGACCACCACGCATCAAAGCGGACGCTCCTCGCCAAGACGAAACGTCAGGTCTCGGTTAATCTCTTTGTTTGTAATGTAATAATAATGTCTGAAGTTTTTTATACAATGGTTGAAGTCGATGATTGGTTCTTGTTGCCGAAGAAAAATTCACATTTTTCCTAGTTATTTGATTCCACCTATTTTCTGGCTTCAACAAACATTCTCTTTTAAAAAAATCCTGAGTAAGAAAGATATATAGAGAATCAGCCATAAAAACTCTGGCTTTCTTGGTTCTGTTATACCCTCCTTGAATGACTGACTGAGATGTTATTGTGGAAGAAGAAAAGGTTCTTTTGTGATGGTCAACCAAATAGTAAATTGAAACACTGTAAAAGTAAAACACAAGTAAAGATTGAACCGGACATGATATATCTCACGCGGTCAGGCTTTATATTAAACCGGATTGAACCGCTTCTGAAAACAAATTAGATTCCCAGAACCGGAGACACGGTTACATTATTACATGAACACTTGCTTGTTCTTGGTTGGTTGGGGATCTAAAATCTCAGACTGAGAAGTTTAGAATTCTTGTCCATCTTGTAGAGAGGGGTTTTCAAGATTCGAAACCAAACAAACAAATATGTTGTGTCGGAGATTGGTGCTTGTGCTAACCGTCGCGGCGATGGTAAGCTATTAAAGGTTCTCCCATTTTTATTAAGAGGAGTGAATTTCATATTTCAATACTTATAGGCTTGGATTCCTCTGTCATTCAAAGTTAGGTCTCTTTCTTGTCTCATTTGTGTGACATTTAATTTCTTTCTAAACAGGTCTTTTAACAGCTATCCATAAGGACTACTTTGAACTTGTAAGTTACCGGGAGCTGCTCTTTAACGATTTTGGAGACCGTGTTGCTCAGCTCTTACATGTCAGATCACTTGTACCCTTTCCGCTCAATGAGAAACAAATTGTTCAACAAGAAGTTCTTATAGTGAACACTCATCTCTTGTTTCCACATGATTCTAGTTTATCTATTGCAAGATTGCATCAGGTTTTGCCATCCTTCTTATCCTTTTGCTTCTTTTTTCTCTTTTTTTGGGACTGTAGATCTTGTGATTGTTGATTTGGTCATTTCTGCCTCTCTTGACAGGTTTACAAGATTCTCGAATATCTGGAAGCTTACCAAAAGGAAAAGAAACTTTCTCACATACCCATTATTCTCTGCGGGTGAGCTTTTTGTGATAAGGAGTATTTGTAATTGTGTCCCTCCACAAGTAGAACCTGATCACAGAGTTTGAATTTTAGTGACTGGAATGGAAGCAAGCGTGGGCATGTCTACAAGTTCTTGAGATCTCAAGGGTTCATATCATCATATGATGTTGCTCAGCAGTTAAAGAAGAATCAAGAGCCACTGGAGATGTTGTCCTTCTTATTCTTTTTCTTCTAGGGTTTGAAACCAAACAGACAATGTTGTGTCGGAGATTGGTGCTTGTGCCTCGTATTCTCCTCCTGAGTCCTGGAGGTACTCTTACAACTCCTTTGCTCTCATGCGAACGAAGCTTCTCTGGTGGCAGCGATAGAAGAAAGGTCTCTTCTTACAAAGACAGATTGAGTAGTGGGATTGTTGGTATTAAGAAAGATGATGCTGTTGCTCTGTTCCAAACCATGGTTCGGTCTCGTCCTCTTCCTACGGTCATAGATTTCAATAAGTTGTTTACTGCAGTAGCAAAAACAAAACAGTATGATCTCGTTTTAGGTCTCTGCAAGCAAATGGAACTGAATCGGATTGCACTTGACAACTACACTCTGAGTATTGTCATCAATTGCTTCTGCCGTCGGCGTCAACTCGGTTTTGCCTTTTCTGTTATGGGGAAGACGTTGAAGCTTGGGTATGAGCCCAACACAGTCACATTCTCAACTTTGATTAACGGTTTATGTCTCCAAGGTAGAGTTTCCGAAGCTGTGGAGTTAGTTGATCGTATGGTGGAAATGAAGGTTATACCAGATCTCATCATACTTAACACTCTTGTCAATGGTCTTTGTCTCCGAGATAGACTCTCTGAAGCAATGGCTTTGATTGATCGAATGGTGGATATTGGGTGTCAACCCGACGCATTTACCTACGGTCCGGTTTTGAACAGAATGTGTAAGTCAGGGAACACTGCCTCGGCCTTAGATCTGTTCAGAAACGTGGAACATAGAAAGGTCAAGCTCGATGTAGTCACATACACTACGGTTATCGATAGTCTTTGCAAAGACGGGAGCCTTGACGATGCACTCAGCCTTTTCAATGAAATGGAAACGAAAGGGATCAAAGCAGATGTCTTTACTTACACCTCTCTCATTGGAAGCTGCTGTAGTTTCGGTAAATGGGAGGATGGGGCACAGTTGCTGAGGGACATGATTACAAGGAAAATCACCCCAGACACCGTCACTTTCAATACTTTGATTGATAGTTTTGTGAAAGTGGGAAAGCTTACTGAGGCTAAAGAATGGTTCGATGAGATGATAAAAAGAGGGATAGGTCCTGATACCATTACATATAATACTCTGGTATATGGGCTGTGCATGGAGAACCGCTTAGATGAAGCCAACCAGATGCTGGATCTGATGGTTAGCAAGGGATGCGATCCTGATATCATGACGTTTAACATCATTATAAATGGATATTGTATGGCGAAACGAGTTGATGATGGTATGACACTTTTCCGGAAAATGTCAATGAGTGGAGTGGTTGCCAATACAGTGACTTATAACACACTCATCCAAGGCTTTTGTGAATCAGGAAAACTTAATGTGGCCAAAGAACTCTTCCAAGAGATGGTCTCTCAAGGTGCTCATCCTAATATTGTTACCTACAAAGTTTTGCTGGATGGGTTGTGTGACAATGGAGAATTAGAAAAAGCTTTGGAAATACTTGATCAAATGCACAACAGTAAGATGGAACTTGACATCGGTGTCTACAATATCATCATTCACGGGATGTGCAGTGCAAGTAAAGTCGCTGATGCTTGGGATCTATTCTGTAGCCTCCCTCTCCGAGGAGTGAAGCCTGACGTCAAAACATATACTATAATGATTGGAGGATTATGTAAGAAAGGCTCATTGTCTGAAGCGGGCCTGTTGTTTAAGAAAATGGGAGAGGATGGGATTGCGCCGAATGATTGTACGTACAACACACTAATCCGAGCTCATCTCCGAGGCAGTGAAATAAGCAAATCAGTTGAACTCATCGAAGAAATGAAGAGGTGTGGCTTCGCTGCAAATGCTTCCACCATAAAGATGGTTATGGATATGTTATTGGATGGTAGATTGGACAAAAGCTTTCTGGATATGCTTTCTTAGAATGTGTGATCTGTAGTTGCAAGAGAAAAGAGTCCCGGATAGTGTTTTGATGATGTGTATTTGGGCTTATTAGTGGAACTTAGTTAGTTTGTTTGTTTACGACTGAATAGAGCCCGCCCTTGATGTCTTCATGTGTTTCACTACTGATTCATGCTCATGCGTTCATTTTTCCTGAATTCGTATCTAGTGCGTGCAATATTCACTTGGGATAAACATGGTTTATAAGTAAGTGTGGTGTGGTGTCAAAATCTGGTGTGGAGGAGGCATACAGATATAAGGTATCATATATATAGTAAAAATAACCTTTTAACTGCACGGACTTGCATACATAATGTATGCTTTATTAGTTGTGGAAGTTCCTTATAAACGGTGAAAACTGAGCTAAGACTTGTAGTGTAAAACGAGATGTGAAATTGACATGAAAGTAGAGTTAGTGTTTAGCTTTGTGTTTTTTCTCTTCTTCACTGGAGGACTGGGCAAGCTAGTAGGTAAAGATGATGCCAAATAGGTGTACACCTGTATAATTCCCTAGAAAACTGTAAACTTAGAAAGAGCTCAAACTTAGATTCGAAAGAGTTTATACAATCTTGAAGTCAGTGGTTCTTGTCACCGAATAAAATCACATATTTCATGTTATTTGATTCCACCGATTGTCTGGCTTCAACAATCTTTTCAAAGTCCTGTGTAAGAAAGATATAAAGAATCATAATAAAAAAACCGCCATTGCAGAAGCTGAAGTTAAGATGGAACTTATGCCTAAACTCAGGCTTTCTTGGTTATGTTGTGATGGAGGATAGTAAAGTTATTTTGTGATTGTCAACAAATAAAAAAAAAAACTTAAACTGAGTAAAACAGAAGTAAAATAAAATCGGACATGTTTTGTTACTACGACAACTGTACTGTAATGAACATTGATAGAAGATAAAACTATTAAACCGGACATGATAGTCTGGCTTTATATTAAACCGGATTGAAAACCGCTTCTGAAACCAAATTAGATTTTTCCAGAACCGGGACATGTTAACATAAGTTCTTCCGAAAGAAAGAGAGAGAGAGAGAGAATCTTCTGGTTCAGATTTGTGGAACAATCAAGCCACTGAAGATGTTGTCCTTCTTCGTCTAGGGTTTGAAACCAAACAGACAAAATGTTGTGTCGGAGATTGGTGCTTGTACCTCGTAGTATCCTCTCGAGTCCTACAGAAGGTACTCTTACAACTCCTTTGCTCTCTTGTCTGCTTCCCACATGCGAACGAGCATTTTCCAGTGGTAGCGATAAAAATCTCTCTTACAGAGAGAAATTGAGAAGTGGGATTGTTGGTATAAAAAAGGATGATGCCGTTGCTCTGTTTCAGTCCATGATTGGGTCTCGTCCTCGTCCTACGGTTATAGACTTCAACAGATTGTTTAGTGGTATTGCTAAAACGAAACAGTATGATCTCGTTTTGGATCTCTGCAAGCAAATGGAGCTTAAAGGGATTGTGTATGATCTCTACACGCTGAGTATTATCATCAATTGCTTTTGTAGGAGTCGTAAACTCGGTTTTGCTTTTTCTGTGATGGGAAAGATATTGAAGCTTGGGTATGAGCCTAACACTGTCACATTCAACACACTTCTCAATGGTTTATGTCTTGAAGGTAGAGTCTTTGAAGCTGTGGAGTTAGTTGATCGTATTGTCCAAAGTGGACATTTACCAGATCTCATCACCCTCAACACTCTTGTCAATGGACTTTGTCTCAAAGATAGAGTGTCTGAAGCAGTAGATTTGATTGATCGAATGGTGAAAAATGGATTCCAACCCAATGAACGTACCTATAGTCCGATTCTGAACAAAATGTGCAAGTCAGGGAACACTGCCTTGGCTTTGGATCTGCTCAGAAACATGGAAGATAGAAAGGTCAAGCCTCACGTAGTCACATACAGTATCATCATTGACAGTCTTTGCAAAGATGGAAGCCTCGAAGATGCACTCAACCTTTTCAATGAAATGGAAACCAAAGGGATCAAAGCAGATGTCTTTACCTACAACTCTCTCATAGGAGGCCTCTGTAATGCCGGTAGATGGGATGACGGCGCACAGTTGTTGAGAGATATGATCAGATGGGACATTACCCCGGACGTCGTCACTTTCAATGTGTTGATTGATAGTTTTGTGAAAGAGGGAAAGCTTACTGAGGCTAAAAACTTGTATAATGAGATGATCACAAGAGGCATAGATCCTGATATCATTACATATAATACTTTAATATATGGGCTGTGCATTGAAAACCGCTTGGATGAGGCCAACCAGATGCTGGATCTGATGGTTAGCAAGGAATATGATCCTAATATCGTGACTTATAGTATCCTTATAAATGGCTACTGCAAGGCTAAAATGGTTGAACAAGGTTTGAGACTTTTCCGCAAAATGTCTGTGTGAGGAGTGGTTGCCAATACAGTCACTTATAGCACTCTCATCCAAGGATTTTGTCAATCAGGAAAACTTAATGACGCCAAAGAACTCTTCCAAGAGATGGTCTCTATTGGTGTGTCACCCACTGTTGTTACTTATGGTATTTTGCTGGATGGGTTGTGTGACAATGGAGAATTAGAAAAGGCTTTGGAAATACTTGATCAGATGCACAACAGTAAGATGGAACTTGACATCGGTGTCTACAATATCATCATTCACGGGATGTGCAATGCTAGTAAGATCGATGACGCTTGGGATCTATTTTGTAGCCTCCCTCTCAGAGGAGTGAAGCCTGACGTCAAAACATATACTATAATGATTGGAGGATTATGTAAGAAAGGCTCGTTGTCTGAAGCGGGCCTGTTGTTTAAGAAAATGGAAGATGATGGGATTGCCCCAGTTAGCGGTACATACAACACTCTTATCAGGGCACATCTCCTAGAAGGTGACTTGGTCAAATCAGCTAAACTTATAGAAGAAATGAAGTGTTGTGGGTTCTCTGCAGATGCTTCCACCATAAAGATTGTTATAAATATGTTATCGGCTGGTAGAATGAAGAAAAGCTTTCTGGATATGCTTTCTTAGAATGTTTTGGATCTTAGTTTGACTAGACAAAAGTCCCGGATTGTGTTATTAGTTGGAACTTATGCGTGTTTGTTTACTTCTAAACAAACTTGATCTCTTGTCCATTTTTTATATGAAATAGGACTGACAAATAATAAACCAAGAGAGAGATTCCAGAGACTTGATGATTGCAAGAAAAAAAAAACAAACACAAACACACTCCTCTGCACAAATCCGGTTAAAACCCTTCGTTTCCATCCAAGAAAGATGAAGTAACTGTAATTCGCTTCTTCTGATTCTTTGACCAGCTCTCTTCCAGATTCTTTATAGATTTCATGTAACCATTCTGATACCTTATCTTTTCCTCCTACACACATGTATGATGACTGAGTCAATACACCAAAGGGACCATCTCAATAGCAAGGTAGTGTTACAGAGAAAGAGATTTGGTTATGTGCATGCCTAGTTAGATTGTCTAGTTGTTACCTCAAGACTTTTAGACAATCTTTTGTAATCAAACTCTTCCTTTAACTTCACCATATTCTCCACTTTCATTGCCTAACCAAACATTAAACGCAGCCATAAAAAATAAAGCAAATCAAGAATTCAATCTAACAAGCAGTAACTAATATATGACAAGTTGAGAACCAGGTCTCACGGATAATGTTACCCTTCTCCCAAATATTATGGTGCTTCTGTCTTCCTCTAATGTATTTCTCGGTTAATCTGTTTGTTGTACTGTCTGGAAGTTTATACAATCTTGAAGTCATTGGTTCTTGTTACCGAATAAAAGTCACATTTTTCATGTTATTTGATTCCACTTTTTTTTCGGCTTCTACAAACTTTTTTTTCGGCTTCTACAAACTTTTTTTTCCAAGTCCTGTGATATTAAAACGGCCACTACAGAAGCTGAAGCTAAGATGGAACTTAAGACTAAACTCAGGCTTTTTTGGTTCTGTTGTATCCTTGAGTACCGATTTGAATGATTTGACTTATAATAATGATTTGACTGATAATGATTGTCAACAAAATTATTAACTGAAACTGTGTAAAAGTAAAACAAAATTAAAATGAATCGAAGATAAACTATTGTACCGGACGTTGACAAAGAAAAAGAAAACTAGTTGTACCGGACATGTTATCACGCGGTCTGGTTTTATATAAACCGGATTGAACCGGGACATGGTAAATTGGTTCTCCCGAAGAAAAAGGAGAATCTTCTTGTTCATTCATTACATGAACACTTCCTTGTTCTGATTTAGGGTCCGACTGGTTTCCCCGCTACCACCCGCAAACGCAGCTTTTGCGGTTGATGGCGGTTGCTAGCGTTTTGCAACAATCACAAAAACCGCTACAAATCGCTTTAAACCGCTCCCAACCTCTTAAAATCAAAAGCTGGTTTCAGCTAACGTTTGCGTTTGCGGGCGATTGCGGGTGGGTAAAAAAACTATTTTTCTTTTAAATTTAAATTTAAATTAAAATATAAAAATAAAAATAATATAACTAAAACTATATCTACATTTTATTTTTTAATTTAAATTCATTAAAAATATCATAATCTATTATAAAAACTTTAAATCAAGAATTTTCA